CTGAGGCTATCCGCCTCATTATTACTATTGTTAGTAGGGTTGGGGTAGGTATTTTTTTTTTTCTTCCGAGCTTAAAGCTCCCGAATTGTGTGAATGTTGTTCTGCTGCTAAATATTGCAGTTAAGGCTTGTCTCAAAGCTATTTCTTTTGTGTTCCTTGAACACAAATGTGTGTTCCTTTAACATTCCTTTGTTGTGGTAAAGAAAGACAGTTTATTTATTACATTTTAATTAAAAAGTTTATCGAATCTTGTATGATCGATATTCGCCCGTGTTGTGGGCAGCTGCTGTGTGGCGAAGTCTGCCTTGTGGGCAGCTGCTGTGTGGCGAAGTCTGCCTTGTGGGCAGCTGCTGTGTGGCGAAGTCTGCCTTGTGGGCAGCTGCTGTGTGGCGAAGTCTGCCTTGTGGGCACTGCTGTGTGGCAGTCTGCCTTTGGGCAGCTGCTGTGGCGAAGTCTGCCTTGTGGGCAGCTGCTGTGTGGCGAAGTCTGCCTTGTGGGCAGCTGCTGTGGTGGCGAAGTCTGCCTTGTGGGCAGCTGCTGTGTGGCGAAGTCTGCCTTGTGGGCAGCTGCTGTGTGGCGAAGTCTGCCTTGTGGGCAGCTGCTGTGTGGCGAAGTCTGCCTTGTGGGCAGCTGCTGTGTGGCGAAGTCTGCCTTGTGGGCAGCTGCTGTGTGGCGAATCTGCCTTGTGGGCAGGCTGGTTGTGGCGAAGTCTGCCTTGTGGGCAGCTGCTGTGTGGCGAAAATCTGCCTTTAGGGCAGCTGCTGTGTGGCGAAGTCTGCCTTGTGGGCAGCTGCTGTGTGGCGAGTCGCCTTGTGGGCAGCTGCTGTGTGGCGAAGTCTGCCTTGTGGGCAGCTGCTGTGTGGCGAAGTCTGCCTTGTGGCAGCTTTCTGTGTGGCGAAGTCTGCCTTGTGGGCAGCTGCTGTGTGGCGAAGTCTGCCTTGTGGGCAGCTGCTGTGTGGCGAAGTCTGCCTTGTGGGCAGCTGCTGTGTGGCGAAGTCTGCCTTGTGGGCACTGCTGTGTGGCGAAGTTGCCTTTTGGGGCAGCTGCTGTGTGGGCGAAGTCTGCCTTGTGGGCAGCTGCTGTGTGGCGAAGTCCCGCCTTGTGGCAGCTGCTGTGTGGCGAAGTCTGCCTTGTGGGCAGCTGCGTGTGGCGAAGTCTGCTTGTGGGCAGCTGCAAGTCTTCAGAGATGTTATCACCAGCAGCAAAAACCCCAAAAAATGTCGCAAATATTAAAGAACTACAGTAAGCAATAGTTTGAAGTATTACTATGTATTTAGAATGCTTCCTTCAAAATTTTGTAGAAAGAAAAATTGCTAAAATATTTCCAAAGCTGATCTATCAAAAATTATCATGAAATTGGAGTAATCAAAGGTTTTTAAGTTACCACAGGTTGATGGAACTGGAAGATCTGCAGGTGTTGGTGTGGTGGATGGCAGTGGAATGACTAGTGGCGCCACTATTCTTGACCTCCATGGCTAAATGGCGCCATTGACCTGGAGGACGGGGTGTTAATGACGTCAGTGGTTGTTTGTGGGGAGGGGGAAGGTCGTTAAGGGAAGGGTCGGGGGTTGGCTGGTGGTGGAGGGGTTTGGGGTGAGTAGTTGTTACTGGTGGGAGGGTGATGGGTAGGGGGGATGGTTGTCACTTGGTAATTATTTTTTTTATATTTTATTTAAAACAATACAATACATTAAATAGATAAAAGAACATAGTATCAGTTCTTACCCAGAATTATAAATTACATTGTCAAAATACACACAGATGTTTAACTCTGTGCTGACACACTGTCCCTCATCCCCTATACATTATATCCCATGCACCTATGTTAAGCAGTCCCTTTTGCCACCTGATGCCCTCGCTTCCTTCCTGCCCTGCAGCGCTGTATAACCCTTGTGGCTTAGCGCTTCTTCTTTTTGATTATAATATGTTAAGCAAGATTACACAAGACTACATTACAATAAGCATTATAATTATTATAAACAATTAATAATTAATTATTATAAACAAAACTGGGGAGGCCAAGCCCATGATGACACTCTTCAGGTCACTTGTTCTATCTAGGCTGGAATATTGCTGCACACTAACAGCACCTTTCAAGGCAGGTGAAATTGCTGACCTAGAAAATGTAAAGAGAACCTTCACGGCGCGCATAACTGAGATAAAACCTCAATTACTAGGAGCGCTTGAGGTTCCTAAACCTGTATTCCCTGGAACGCAGGCGGGAGAGATATATGATTATATACACCTGGAAAATCCTAGAGGGACTAGTACCGAACTTGCACACGAAAATCACTCACTACGAAAGGAAAAGACTTGGCAGACGATGCACCATCCCCCCAATGAAAAGCAGGGGTGTCACTAGCACGTTAATTAAGAGACCATACAATAAGTGTCAGGGGCCCGAGACTGTTCAACTGCCTCCCAGCATACATAAGGGGGATTACCAATAGACCCCTGGCAGTCTTCAAGCTGGCACTGGACAAGCACCTAAAGTCAGTTCCTGATCAGCTGGGCTGTGGCTCGTACGTTGGTTTGCGTGCAGCCAGCAGCAACAGCCTGGTTGATCAGGCTCTGATCCACCAGGAGGCCTGGTCACAGACCGGGCCGCGGGGGCGTTGACCCCCGGAACTCTCTCCAGGTAAACTCCAGGTATGTGGTGACTACTGTTACATGTGGTGACTACTGTTGCATCACTGGTATGTGGTGACTGCTGTTGCATCACTGGTATGTGGTGACTACTGTTACATCACTGGTATGTAGTGACTACTGTTACATCACTGGTATGTGGTGACTACTGTTACATCACTGGTATGTGGTGACTACTGTTACATCACTGGTATGTGGTACTACTGTTACAATCACTGTATGTGGTGACTACTGTTACATCACTGGTATGTGTGACTGCTGTTACATCACTGTATGTGGTGACTACTGTTGCATCACTGGTATGTGGTGACTACTGTTGCATCACTGGTATGTGGTGACTACTGTTGCGTCACTGGTATGTGGTGACTACTGTTGCGTCACTGGTATGTGGTGACTACTGTTGCGTCACTGGTATGTGGTGACTGCTGTTACATCACTGGTATGTGGTGACTGCTGTTACATCACTGGTATGTGGTGACTACTGTTACATCACTGGTATGTGGTGACTACTGTTGCATCACTGGTATGTGGTGACTACTGTTGCGTCACTGGTATGTGGTGACTACTGTTGCGTCACTGGTATGTGGTGACTGCTGTTACATCACTGGTATGTGGTGATTGCTGTTACATCACTTGTATGTGGTGACTGCTGTTACATCACTGGTATGTGGTGACTACTGTTACATCACTGGTATGTGGTGACTACTGTTACAGGATTGGTATGTAGTGACTACTGTTACATCACTGGTATGTGGTGACTGCTGTTACATCACTGGTATGTGGTGACTGCTGTTACATCACTGGTATGTGGTGACTACTGTTTACATCACTGGTATGTGGGACTGCTGTTACATCACTGGTATGTGGTGACTACTGTTACATCACTGGTATGTGGTGACTGCTGTTACATCACTGGTATGTGGTGACTGCTGTTACATCACTGGTATGTGGTGACTACTGTTACATCACTGGTATGTGGTGACTGCTGTTACATCACTGGTATGTGGTGACTGCTGTTACATCACTGGTATGTGGTGACTGCTGTTACATCACTGGTATGTGGTGACTACTATTACATCACTGGTATGTGGTGACTGCTGTTACATCACTGGTATGTGGTGACTACTGTTACATCACTGGTATGTGGTGACTGCTGTTACATCACTGGTATGTGGTGACTGCTGTTACATCACTGGTATGTGGTGACTACTGTTACATCACTGGTATGTGGTGACTGCTGTTACATCACTGGTATGTGGTGACTGCTGTTACAATCACTGGTATGTGGTGACTGCTGTTACATCACTGGTATGTGGTGACTACTGTTACATCACTGGTATGTGGTGACTGCTGTTACATCACTGGTATGTGGTGACTACTGTTACATCACTGGTATGTGGTGACTACTGTTACATCACTGGTATGTGGTGACTACTGTTACATCACTGGTATGTGGTGACTACTGTTACATCACTGGTATGTGGTGACTGCTGTTACATCACTGGTATGTGGTGACTACTGTGTACATCACTGGTATGTGGTGACTGCTGTTACATCACTGGTATGTGGTGACTACTGTTACATCACTGGTATGTGGTGACTACTGTTACATCACTGGTATGTGGTGACTACTGTTACATCACTGGTATGTGGTGACTGCTGTTACATCACTGGTATGTGGTGACTACTGTTACATCACTGGTATGTGGTGACTACTGTTACATCACTGGTATGTGGTGACTACTGTTACATCACTGGTATGTGGTGACTGTTACATCACTGGTATGTGGTGACTACCACCCACGGGATGATTATTGGCTTATATTAAATAACAAATTGATCAAACTACCACCAATCTTCATTTTTTTATCCCTATATAATACTGCTTGTATGTGAACTGTAAAAAAGTGAATTAATTTGTATAAAACTTAACTTAAAACTAAATAAACTATGTATGTATGTAGTTTACCCTGGAGCGAAATATTGTCGTGAAAAGTTCGTTTACATATAAGAAAGTTTATTGACATTTTTTAAATAATAATTGAGAAATAAATAAGTTAATTGAGTACAATTAGAGTCGTATATCTTGAATTACTTAGATGTTAACGTATAAATTAAAAAAATAAATTAATATAAGTATTTTACATTATTAAGTCCCACAGTGATGGTAACTTTGAAGCATCTGCAGCATATGTTATGCAAAGATTATAATGCCACTTTTTTTTATATCGTAAATTATGGGTAGTTTTAATTAAAAATAATAACAGTATGCTATGATAATTTAGACATTAGGTGATATGTAGTTGAAGATCCGGAATGTAAGATTTTGTAATATATATCAAGAGCGTGTTGTTTTGAGGAAAATGGCGTTGGACGTAATTTATTGTTTATGTGGCCAATCCACGGATTTGTCCCGGTTTATGATACAATGTGATATTTGTAAAGACTGGTTTCACGGGAGGTAAGATTACAGTTAGTGTTAGATAAGTGAGAGTAGTGTATTAGAGGTGTGTGTTAGTTAACAAGACTGCTGCACTCACTGCCTCACACTACCTCACCTCCACCTCTTATTAATCTCCTCCAACTATCACTTACTCTTACTTAAAGACACTTCCTGGTGACTTAAAGTAATGTTTTTTACGAGTTGTTAGTGTAACGGTGGTGAAATTTTTGGGTTATTGTGTGGTAGAGGTGTAAGTGTGGTAGAGGTGTGAGGTCACGTAGGCCCAGTCTCTAACACCATTATCACATTTCTCCAACATTTAACTCTCTTTAGTGGCGAAACGTTTCGCCTACACAGTAGACTTCTTCGGTCAGATACAGAGGCATCAATAGTAGTGAAATAAAGATGATGTAATCTGTCCATCAACCTTAGAGAAAAAGTGAGGTGGTCAGTCTCTCAGCCTCCAGGCTTAGGGACTAAGTAATTACTTTACAATAATTACATTATGTTACGTAATTACGGTACAATATTAATTTTGTCGTACATTGCTGCTCATAAACTCTTGGTAATTATTATTGAGTTTGATAATCTACTGACACATTATCTAGCTCTGCTCTTGCTTTCTTGCTCTCTCTCTCTCTCTCTCACTCTATCACTTTTTTATTCTCACTTTCTGGCATGCTCTCACTTGCTTTCTCTCTTGCTCTTTTGCTTTCTTGCTGTCTCTTAATCTCGCTCAATTGCTCACTCTTTTCTTTACACAAGGGATTTACAAGATTTGGTTTATTTAGAGCAGAGCTGTAACCTACGTCCATTTATTTGAAAGCCATTTTGTTTTGTTATGAAATATGCAAATTGGGAACAGTATGAAGTTGAAGCAATCTGTGGGCCAGCAATTTAATTTGGTCAACTGACTTAATTTTGTTGATGTCATTATATTGTACAAACATTGTCGAGACTTGAGTCATCTTAGGATTAAATGATCTCAGATGAAGCAGTGTTCTGGAGTGTAGTTGCTTGTTTGGTGCCCGTCTTGTGTAGAAGCTCACTTCTCGCTGCCTTCTGGTACTTTGACAGTATTGGCCTTGTACATGAGAGTATGGCCACCCACATCCCTTCTTTATTGAGGGCTCTGCTGAAATGACAGGTCTGTCCAGGCTGGGTCCAGGTAAAAGATGAGTCATCTTACTCTGTTCTCTATTCTGTCAAATCACAGATGAGACAGAAGGCAGACAATCCAAGAAAGTGGAGTACACTCAAGGTGTGAGTGTACTTGTGCATCGTATAGAATCTTGCAACCTCTACTGTTGAGCAGATACGAGATACGTCTAAGTGCCATAAGCTTCCTGGCTGCTTTGTTCGCAAGATTCACAATATGGTTCTTCATAGTCACTTTTGAGTCAAATTTCACCCCAAGGATATCAACTGCATCCCCAGGTACCAACACTCTCCCATTCATTCTTACCAATGCTCCAGCATTACCATCATCATACCTAGAGACCATCATCATTTGTGTTTTCTCAGAAGCAAATATGACCTACCATCATTTTCCCCAGGCTGACATAGCTGTAAACTGGTGATTGATGTAACTTAGAGGAACTGGCATTTTCTCTCTCGGATAAGTAAATGTCAGATCATAGTTGTCTGCATATGCATGGGATTCTGTGATGAAGAATGTCACTCTCTCTCTCATACTCTCATTCTCCCTCTCTCATACTCTCATTCTCCCTCTCTCATACTCTCATTCTCTCTCTCATACTCTCATTCTCTCTCTCATACTCTCATTCTCTCTCTCATACTCTCATTCTCTCTCATACTCTCATTCTCTCTCTCATACTCTCATTCTCTCATTCTCTCTCATACTCTCTCATACTCTCTCATACTCTCTCATACTCTCATACTCTCTCATACTCTCATTCTCTCTCTCTCTCATTCTCTCTCTCTCTCATTCTCTCTCTCTCATTCTCTCTCTCATTCTCTCTCTCTATTCTCTCTCTCTCTCTCTTTCCCCCTCTCTCTCTCCTCTCTCTCTCCTCCTCTCTCTCTCTCTCTCTCTCATACTCATACTCTCATTCTCTCTCTCATACTCTCATTCTCTCTCTCATACTCTCGTTCTCTCTCTCATACTCTCATTCTCTCTCTCATATTCTCTCTCTCTCTCTCTCATACTCTCTCTCTCTCTCATACTCATACTCTCATTCTCTCTCTCATACTCATTCTCTCTCTCATACTCTCTCTCTCATACTCTCTCATACTCTCTCATACTCTCTTCATACTCTCATTCTCTCATACTCTCATTCTCTCATACTCTCATTCTCTTTCTCTCTCTCATACTCTCATTCTCTCATTCTCATTCTCTCTCTCTTTCTCTCTCTCTCATACTCTCTCTCTCTCTCTCTCCTCTCTCTCATACTCTCATTCTCTTCTCTCATACTCCTCATCTCATTCTCTCATTCTCTCATTCTCTCTCTCTCTCATCTCTCTTCTTCTCTCTCTCTCTCTCTTTCTCTCTCTCTCTCTCTCTCTCTCTCTCTCTCTCATACTCTCCTACTCTCATTCTCTCTCATCTCTCCTCTCTCTCTCATCTCTCATCTCTCTCATCTCTTCTCTCTCTTTTCATCTCATACTCTCATTCTCTCATACTCATCTCTCATATCTCATTCTCTCATATCTCTTCCTTTCTCTCATACTTTCTCTCCATCTCTCTCATACTTCTTCATTCCTCTTCTCTCATCTCTCTTCTCTCTCATACTCTCATTCTCCCCTCTCATACTCTCATTCTCTCTCTCTCATACTCTCTCTCTCTTCATACTCTCATTCTCTCTCTCTCTCTCTCTCTCTCTCTCTCATTCCTCTCTCTCATACTCTCATTCTCTCTCTCTCTACTCTCTCCTCTCCTCTCTCTCATTCTCTTCTCTCTCTCTTCTCTCTCATCTCTCTATACTCCATCTCCTCATCTCTCTCATACTCTCATTCTCTCTCTCTCTACTCTCATTCTCTCTCTCTCTCTTCTCTCTCTCTCTCTCATCTCATACTCATACTCATACTCTCATTCTCTCTCATACTCTCATTCTCTCTCATACTCTTCATTCTCTCTCTCTATACTCTCATTCTTCTCTCTCTCATACTCATTCTCTCATCTTTCTCTCATACTCTCATTCTCTCTCACTACTCCATTCTCTCTCATACTCTCATTCTCTCTCTCTCATACTCATATTCTCATTCTCTTCTCATACTCATACTCTCATTCTCTCTCTCTCATACTCATATCTCTCTCATCTCTCTCTCTCTCATACTCATACTCTCATTCTCTCATACTCATACTCTCTCTCTTCTCATCTCATACTCTCTCATACTCTCATTCTCTCTCTCATACTCTCATTCTCTCTCATACTCATACTCTCATTCTCTCTCATACTCTCATTCTCTCTCATACTCTCATTCTCTCTCATACTCTCATTCTCTCCACCTCTCATACTCATTCTCTCTCATTTTCTCTTCCTTTCTTTCTTGGTGGTACTCTGCCATCCACTGGAACACTATCTTGTATCCCTTCCTGTTCTTTTAGTTTCTGTATTTCTCTCTCATGTGGAACTGTGTTGAATGCTTTCTTGCACTAAAAGAAGATGCAGACCTCCATCCCTGTCCTTTTTTTTTTCCAGATAACTCCTCTCCTACCTAGGTACTTTGGTGCCTTTCTCTCTAAAATCTTCTCAAAAACTTTTGATAATATGCATGTTGAAGATAAGGGCTATAGTTCAGTACCACTTGTAGCTAAAATGAAAATGGTATGTAGTACTGACAGGTTGATAAGTAAGACACATATGCAACAGTTGGGTATCTTTATTCCAAAATGTTTTGCCTACTAAGCAGGTTTCTTCAGTCAAGTAGAAAAGCATAAGCAGAAGCAGTAGAGTTTTGAAGACTATGTAATCGGTCCATCACCCTCAAAGATGTAATTTTGAGGTGGTCAGTCAATCAGCCTGGAAAAATTTTGCTCCATAATCTGGAAAAATATTGGTGTGCAGCCATCAGTTACAGCATGGTTGATCAGGCCCTTATCCACTGTGAGGCCTGGTTATCGACCAGGGCATTTACCCTTGAAACACCATTCAGGTATACTCCAGGTATACCATGACTGGAACAGTGCTACACAGATAAACATTGAACTAGTTAATGGTCCAAATCAGACGTGGTCCTGGGTTTCATTCTCCTATGTTTGGGTTATCTGTGTAAGATCTCCATCAGTTTCACCGACAACTGTTATATTTTTTAATAAATTGAAGATAAACAGCATTTTACCAGGGAGTTCATAAAGCCTTGCTTTGCTGTACATTTATAACACTTCTGTAGTCTTATTCCTGCCCCTTTGTTGAGCAGTACCACTTGTTTTTAAATATAGTTTAAAAGTTCGAGTTGCCGGTAAACGAGTACATTACTAAGCGAGGAGAGGTTGTATTGTATTTTGCTTTATGTGTATGAAACACTTCAGTATTCCCAGCTTGTGTTATTACTGTGATTGTATTTCCCAATTTGGCATGTGCATCAACACTGTTTTATTGCATTTCAGATGTGTTGGAGTACGAGAATATCAGGCAGTAGACATCGACAGATTTCACTGTCCGCGCTGTGAAGCATATAATGGCCCATCAGTTTGTAAGCTGCTGAGATTCATTGCTCAATTTAGAAAGAATAGTTGTACCTGTTGTTTATTTACCGTCTGAATAACATTTTCATTTCAAGATACGGTAGATTATTTTCATTAGTGTGAGTTTCAGCAAATTCAGGAACACTAGCATTCATATGTCAAGATTTAAAATATGATCCACACAGGCCACTAATATTTAGATATTGTGTATCAAAGTACTGTTTTTTTCACTTCTCATAAATGGATTAGTAAAGATTTTATATTTGTATAAGGAACCACAGTTCAGGTGGGGCTTGAACTCATGGCAGGTGAGTTGTAAAACTCTACGCCAGGATGTAAGTCACAGGGCCAGCTGGCTACAGTAAGATTCATCCAACTTGGTATATTTATACACCATAGGGAGGTTAGCATGGGTCCCACTGTGATCACAAATGCAAGTTTTTATAGATTAATCTCCTGCCAGAGTGGCCGTGACAAACTCTAGTTCAAGTCCCCTCAAAGCCGTCGTCAGTCATGGCTTTGTTGAAGTATTTCATTTTATTGTTTAGCCAGAGCACATCATCATATGACTATCATCACCACCAGCTGATTTTCCTGACAAATTTAACAATAACAGCAATGATACTTTACTGTAACTGGAAAGATATGTGAATAGTAACTAACACTTAATAAAGTGTTTTAATCAAATTGGGAAACCTTTATGAATGACAGTGTTTCATTTAGTTTAGCAACTTTTTGAGGTTAATGATTTGTAAAACCTTGTATACAAAATATAAAAATTTATTTCTTTGCAAAGGTTACAATGTGTGATTACATTTCATAATTTGATTGGTACAAAGAAAGCCACTGTCATGCCAGGGCATTTTGAGTGTAACATTTATAAATCTTTCCATACTTTATTAAAGTACTTTATTTATTCCAGTATTTTATTACACATTTATATTCATTCTTAAATTTTCCCTCTTGCCAAATTTATTTATCTTTTTTAATTACAGTATTTTAAGCTTTTTTCATGCAAGCTACATTATTTGCTTTTCAGTAAAAGCCCGTCTAAATTGGCATCGTCACGATTACTCGGAGACTGATGCTGCGTCCAAGCCAGTGCAGACCGGCACGCAGGTTTTTATCAAAGAACTCAAAACTAGACATTTCCCCAGGTATGTAAGTATTTAGTCATTCAAAGTTTATCTGTTGGAAATGCAAACTAATTTAAGCAAAGTGTAAGGTTTTATTTGTTTTACAACTACAGCAAACCTTTACGTTATAGTACATTTTTCCATCAAATATACTGTAGAAAAAAAAAAGTGGTTTGTACCTCTAGTAGAGTATTGTGTACAAATTTAACTTGCATGTAGTGTCTTTCTAACAAAATAATTTTTTTAAGGTTCCTTTATACAGGTCCGCCATCACAAATCTGGCAATCAGTTATTCGGTTCCTTCAGTTATTATCGGCACTAATTTTGGCTAGCATAATTTCAAATTTCCAGGGTCGCCACACCAACCTGCTGGTACTGTTTGGTGGCGCTACTTGCTGCATAAGTCATTCCAATTTCTTTTTCTCCATTTATTGTTTTAACCTGCTTACTTTTAGCCCTAGCCATGGTTCCAATGAATAAAAGAAATGCTTCTCATTATGTAAAGCACCTACACAGTACATTATCCATTAAAGATAAGGTGGCTTTGAAGCCACTGTCGGTTGCCATGAGCTCAGTCTCATGAAGCAGGAGAATATGCTTTATTATTACACTAATATCAACACTACAGCTTATTTGCCTATCACAATTGATCTAATATGACATAAGAAACAATATTAAGAACATAAAACATGTTAAATACTCCAGAATGAATAATATTTGACATAACACCGAGTAGTTCGACAGAAAAATAAAAGGAAAAATAAAAGCACTAATGATGCAATCATAAAAATGCTAGATCTGCTTTACACAGCATTGGAAAATAAGGAATATCCACTAGGAATTTTTATTGACCTAAGAAAAGCTTTTGACACAGTAGACCACGACATCCTACTCCACAAACTTGACCATTACGGTATAAGAGGCCATGCGCTTGCTTATTTCAAATCTTACCTTACTAATAGGTATCAGTATGTCACCATTAAAGACACAGCATCAACAACATGGCCACTTGATACTGGAGTTCCGCAGGGAAGTGTCCTTGGTCCCCTGCTCTTCCTCGTATACATCAATGATCTTCCAAACGTATCCTAACACCTGAAACCCATTCTCTTTGCTGACGACACGACTTATGTCATCTCTCACCCTAATCTTGCCACCCTCAACACCATTGTTAACGAGGAGCTGATCAAAATGTCGACTTGGACGACAGCCAATAAACTTACGCTTAACACTGACAAAACCTACTAGATTATGTTTGGTAGCAGAGCAGGAGATGCACAAATTAACATTAAGATCGACAACACTCTAATTACCAGACATAATGAGGGCAAATTCCTAGGCCTATACCTTGACAACAACCTGAATTTCAGCACCCATATTCAACACATAACCAAAAAAGTATCCAAAACGGTTGGGATCCTCTCCAAGATACGATACTACTACGTGCTGCAAAATGCCCTTCTCACACTATACCACTCACTTATTTATCCATACCTCACCTATGCTATTTGTGCTTGGGGATCAACTGCAGCAACACACCTAAAGCCAATAATAACCCAACAAAAAGCTGCAGTAAGAATAATCACTAAATCCCATCCCTGGCACACACCCCCCCCCCACTCTTCATAGATCTAAACTTACTCCCTGTTCAGTACATCCACACTTACTACTGTGCAATCTACATCTACAGGACCAATATCAACCTTGACCTAAAATGCTTTCTTGATAGTTGTGACAGAACCCACAGGCATAACACCAGACACAAACATCTCTATGACATTCCCCATGTCCGACTAAACCTTTACAAAAATTCAATGTATGTCAAAGGCCCTAAAATCTGGAACACCCTACCTGAGAACTCTAGAACTGCAGACACATTCATCACCTTCAAAACTACCATTAGAAAACATCTTATCTCCCTGATACACCCTGTCAACTAACTACACGAATACCACCTGGTGGTTCACACTTACACTCACTCACCCATTTGACCATAAACAGAAATATTAATCTCAATCTTAAAATAATGAATCCTGTGATACTCCAATACTGAAACTATGTACTGTGCCAAAACAAAAGCATTCACATTGCTAAACTCACAAACTAGTATTTAGTCACTTAGCCATAATACCAACTTACCTCATAATTTGTAATATTTTAAAATTAAGAATTAAACTAAGTCTGCCCGAAATGCCTAGCCATGCTAGGTGTTCTAGTGGTACACTCTGTAATCATTATTTTACTACATGTAAACCACACAATAACCAAATTCTGTAAACTCAGCATTGTAATCATTATAGAGAATAAACTTTGAGTTGAATTGAGTTATGAAGAGGATATGGTAAACAAATACCATTCTCCTATCCTTGTCATGGGGACTTATATTAGAGAAAACGGAGTGTAGCACAGGGCTAACTATGATATACACTCGTACTCCACCATAAACTTAAAACAAAAAAGTTATTTTCTCTCTATAGATTATCACACATAGCAGCATATGTGTAGAGAACCTAGGATAACCCCAAAAAAGTCAACGTGGCTTATTTTTATTACCTGGCTTGGGTTAGCCATATATGATTTTTGGTAAATATTCGATTCCCAGCCAGGGTAGAAACATTAGGTGTGTTTCTTTACACCTGTTGTCTATGTTTACCCATCAGTAAATGAGTACCTGGGTGTTAGTTGACTAGTGTGGGTGTTATCCTGGGACACTGACCTAATTTTCTTGAAATACTCAGCATAACAAGTGCCTTTTTATACAGTAGTATGTCACTGATGTCAGCTAGGCCTGTATACCTTGTACATGTACGTGTAGTAAATAAAGATATTATTATTATTATTATTATTATTATTATATTATTATTTTCTCAGTTTGTTGGGTTATCTTATTCAAACTTGGGCAATGTATGATGGAAAGATACTTCTTCACGTACACCAAAAAAAAAAAAGAAATCAGACTATAAATAGCGGAGTTCACTTCTCAGCCATTAGCGGCCGCTTAGCGGTATATTTTTGTATGGTTGTTATGGTTATATTCTCATTTTTTCGGTCTTATTTGATAGAATGAAAGATATATTACAGAAATAAATATGATTTTGATTGCTTTCATGACGAAAAGTACCTTGAAATTGCGCTCACAGTAGCAAAAATGTTCTATTCTTTAGCGTATGTACACCAAAAAAAAAAAGAAATCAGACCATAAATAGCGGAGTTCACTTCTCAGCCATTAGCGGTCGCTTAGCGGTATATTTTTGTATGGTTGTTATGGTTATATTCTCATTTTTTTCAGTCTTATTTGATAGAATGAAAGATATATTACAGAAATAGATATGATTTTGATTGCTTTCATGACGAAAAGTACCTTGAAATTGCGCTCACAGTAGCGAAAATGTTCTATTCTTTAGCGAAGCTCAAGAGTAAACAAATGACGTCACCGTCCAATACCTGTCCGCCTGCCAGTCTGAATTCCAATACGGAGTCAAGAATGGATTGACATTATTTATACAATTATTACAATAATGCAGTAGTCTGCATAACAGTAAATCTATTTTTTGTGAATAAAAATTCCAAATGGTAAGCAAGAGTAATATAAGAGGGGCCTGTAGCCATGACTATTGAACAGAGAAAATGTTATTTTAGTGCCAGGAATATCTGCATTGTTTATTCTGGACCCTATTTTGAAATTGGCATCTGTTGAAATTTGTGTGAAATCGGCCAAATTGCCAATTTCTGACCACTTTATTGGGTAGTTGAAATAAGTGAATGGGCGGTTTCTTGTACTCAGTTGACAGACTAGAAGTAAATAAGTTTATTCAGGTATACACAAATACAGTTACATAGATTATCATACATAGCAGTGTATGTATAGAGAACCTTGGATAACCCAGAAAAGTCAAAGTGACTTATTTCCAGTACCTGGCTTGGGCTTGCCATGTATGATTTTTGGTAAATATTTTTTTTTCTCGGTTGTTTGTGGGCTATCTCATTGAAACTTGGGCAATGTATGATGGAAAGATGCTTCTTAATATACAACAAAAATAAAAAAGACGGACGATAAATAAGGGAGTTCACTTCTCAGCCATTAGCCGCCTCTTTGCAGTATATTTTCGTATGGTTTTTATGGTTGTATTCTCATTTTTTGGACTCATTTGATAGAATGGAAGATATATTACAGAAATATACATGATTTTGATTGTTTTCATGACGAAAAGTACCTTGAAATTGAGCTCAAAGTAGCGGAAATGTTCGATTTTTGCCGATGTTCAATGAACTATGTAAGTCAAGTTGGTTAATTTTATTAAGTGTATTCTAACCTAACCACTCTGTAATTCGGCAAACTCAGTAATCCGGCACACTACAGGCCCCAATGATGCCGGATTTGTGATGAAGGACCTGTAGTATATATAATGTACAGTAAAGGCTCAATTTATCCACCATTCAGTCAACTGAAACTATAATTATTTCAAGAATATCTACTTTGAGTGTTATTTACATGACTACATGCTCTTCTAAGAAACCACCTTGGATATTTGTGAAATTTCCATTTTCTGGAAATAAATGACAAAAAACTGTGTTCCGATATACAGTAGTAAGACTAATGGTATAAAATTAAATAAAAATAGCTATTAATTGTTAGAAATAATCCATTGCCAAAATCAGATAAGTGTGATAACACAGTACGTATATATTCCACGGAATTAAAATATATCATGGAGTACTTTCAGGAATCACCTTGAAACTTTTGCTTCTATAAACCATGGTACGGGTGGGTATTGAACTCACGGCTAGCGAGTCCAACTAGTTGGACGAATCTTATTTGTGTGATAAATGGTTTGAAAACTGGCAAGTTGATGATGAAGACACTTATTCAGCATATGGGAAACTTTATTAAGGAAATGTTTTGCCACACAGTGGCTTCTGCAGTCCAGTACAAAGCAGAGAGGGGTAAGGAGAGGAGGAGTTTGAGGTAATCAGTCCCTCAGCCTGGAATCGATGTGTTCAGTCCATCAGTCTTGTAGAAAGTACAGCATATGGCCACAGAAGTGGCTCATATACTGTAGACAGGCGAGTCAAAGCAGGAAGCGGGATCACAGTGGAACCATCCACTAATGTAAGTAGGTCTTTGTCCAAAGGTTGGACAAGTATTGAAGAATTCATCTTGTCAGTTTTCAAACCATTTATCACATTTGTCAGACACTGCAACATCATGGAAACTTGGTATGCTCATTTTTTAGTTACAGATGGGTCACAAAATGTGGACTGCTTTTATGATGCCTGCTTTCTTTTGGATTAGCAGAAAATGTGTATTTTGAAAACCATCCATAGGATTTTGTTCAAAATGTACTCGCTGTATTTTCACTCTCAGATCTCTTATCTCATAAGTGCTAAAATTAATGAGGTCTAACACAGTCAAAGCAGAACACATGAAGACGGAGAAATTGCATTTTTCTTGCAGTGTTAAAATAACTTAAAAATCACCTTCAATTCTGGTAACCTTCTGAAGGCATAAGAAGCGAGCTGCTACACTAATGTAGCTGTGATACTAACTTAATCCTCCTCTACGCACCACCACCTTCCTGTTCTTCCACACCTTGCACTACTACAGCAAATGTTTACTGTAAGATGTTGGATGATAAATGGGTGAATCCAATACCCATGAGATTGAACTGCTCTTCCATCCACAGGAAGTTACCCCCCCTTCCTTCCCTAATTAGAGGGTGTACAGCATTAGTATGGATGAAGCATGACACACTCCAGGCGGGCCTCCCCAGAATCCCTTACATGAAAATAAATTCTTCAAATCAAAGTGTGCTGCTGTTGATGAGGTTATAAAATTAGTGAATATTAGTATTGGGAAGAGATACAAGCTTAAAAGATAATGAGTCTCTTGAAGTGGTTATCACTTATTCTTTGCTGATGACAGTACCTTTTGGCAGATTTCTAAATGAAGTTGCAGAAGTTGGTGGATGAGAAAAAGTAATGTAGGCAATGAAAGGTTACATGACAGACAGGAAGGAAGGTATATGAAAGAGACGAGAAATAAATGATTGCAGTCTGAATGGGTGTGGATGTGTGTGTATATGTGACTCTGACAAGACAGCAACTGTATGAATGACTGTGAGTGTGTTTCCTTTTTTGGGTCTCCTTACCTTAATGGAACATGGCCAATATGATAAAAAGATTGTGAGCTGTTGTGCATCATAGACTAGATGAGGAAAGGACAGTAGCTGAGTGTTTAAGAGAGTGTTTCAGAAAGTTGTTTATTACTGGATACATAATAAGGTAATGTATCAGAGTACAGTGGAACCTCGGTTGCCAACTGCATTACTTGTTGAACAAATCAGTTTTCAAACTTAGAAATTTGAGAAAAAAATGTCCTGGTTTTCATATCTTCTCTTGGGTGTCGGCTAACAGTGTGAAAGGCTCAGGTCACGGGCCTACAGAATGTGCAATTTAAAATGAGTTGACAGTGCAAGGGCCTTGAAATTGAAACCCGTACTTGTTTATTGTTCTCAAAACTCACGATTTTTTAAGAAGAACAATGTTATGAAAAACAGATTGGCTGGGTAACAAGACAGTTTTTTTTATTGAGTGGGTTCATGAGGTTTTTGCTCCCACTGTCAGGATTTGTTTTATATGGTGTGCACTTACCACATAAATGCATTCTCTCATATCTAGGCCCAAATTTACTGCTCACAGCTTATCTGAGTGAGCTGAGCTCATGATATAATACTACGGCTTGGGCCCTAGCTTCAAGCCTGAAGAACTATGAGATGGACCCTCAAAGGGTTAAAAACAGTTGCCACTCAGGGCCCTTTTACTTATGGATAATGATTCTGCTTACCCTCCAAGCTTGGAAAATGAGTTGCTGGATGAGTTCAGTTTTATAACTGCGAAGTTCCTGCCTCCTAACACCACTCCTCTCGTCCAGCCGATGGACCAGAAGGTCATTTCTAACTTCAAGAAACTACACCAAAGTAGTTTTTGAAAGGTGCTTTGAAATCACTTCAGAAACAAATTTATCCCTCAGGGAGTTCTGGAAGGAATATTTCAATATTTTCACCTGCTTGAGACTTGTAGACAAAGCCTGGAGGAATGTGTATTCCAGGACTATGCAGTCAGCATGGAAGAAATTGTGGCTTGACTTTGTGGCAGCCAGGGAATTTGAAGGCATTGAAGATGAGCCTGAGCCGGTAGAGGATATTGTGTCCCCAGGGAAGACCTTAGCCCTGGAGGTGACTGATGATGATGTGGAGGAGTTGGTGGAGCACATAATGGAACTCACCACAGAAGAACTTGTAGACCTTCAGAAGGAGTAGCAGCAGATTGCAGCAGAGTAGCTATCACCAAGAGGAAGAGGAGGGAAGGGATGATGTGCCCATTGCACTTGTCAAGGAAATGTGTGCTAAATGCATGAAGTGCAGGAGTTTGCTGAAAAATACCATCCAGACAAAGCAGTGGCCATCTGTCTCTCTGAAATGTACAATGAAAGTGTAATGTCTCCATTTAGACAAGTTTTAAAATGCAGCCTGAAACAAACCTCACTGGACAGGTTTTTAGTGAAACAAAGAACCAGTGAGCCAGAAGAAGGTATTAATGGTGAAAAGAGACAAAGAAGAGAAACAACACACAAAGCACAGTTGCCTGACATATTAATAGGTGACGACTCGTCTTCCAAGCAGTAACATAACCCCTTCCTCTCCTCCACCTCCTGCTTCCAGTATGCCATTAACTCTCCTCTGACAGGTAAGAGGCAGTTAAATTTTCATTTACTGTACAGCATTTCAAAGTTTCTTTTAGTATTCATTTTTACAGTTTTATGTAGTACAGTGTAGTAAGTATATTTTTAATAAATTTTTATTATGTCATTTGGGATCTGGAACAGATTTGGTTGTCGTTCATTTTGGTTGTCAAATTGACATTTGGAACGAATTAATTTCGAAAACCGAGGTTCCACTGGATAGTGATTACAACACTTTGTGGCCTTTGAATGATGCATTGAAGTAGATATAGACATTAGAGATGTCATGTTTGAGGGCAGTATGTGGTGTGAAAATTATGCAGAGAATAAGAAATCAAGAAATTAGAAGATGTTATGGTTGTATGAAAGGCTTAATTCAGAAGGTAGAGAAGGGTTAATCGAGATGGTTTGGCAATTTAAAAAAATAGAAAGAGCATGATAGGTTGAACCAAGATGGTGTATAACTCTGGGGTGGATGGAAATAGTAGTAGATGTCATAGGAAAGGATGGAAGAAAGCTGTGAAGATTTTAACATGTTAGATTTGAGTGAGTGGATACATGTGGTTTTTGGGATTCGACGTTTTGACCAGACTCAAGCACTGAAAGTGAGAGGTGGATGGGGATGTCATGAATTTTTGGGTCATTTTATTATTGTATAAAAAGGGAATACATTGCCTAACATGACCATACCCCCGGCTGGGATTGAACCCGCGGTCATAGGGTATGGTTTGTTTGCAATCGTGTCATTACGATTTCTTGAGTCATGCCTAACATGAGATTGTGCCTAATGTACTGTTTTAAGCACTGTGCTGTATACTTAATACAAAATATTTTATTACTGGGCAATTTTTCTGTCGGAATGTTTTGTATTTGCTACTATGATGCCTAGTATAGTTCAGAATTTTCCCATGTGCTTGATCTTGGCCTACCACTTCACTTTTTATCTTCTGTGTTTCCTTACTCATTCATTTAGAGGTCCAACAGTCTGGTGCTGAGGCGGTGGCAATTTCTGGATGTCCTCTGTAAAATTTAGCTGCTGCTTTCCTCTGACTTAACACCTTGAACATGTAGAAGAACTGATTCTATTTTTTTTATAAGTGTATGTGCAGATACATATCTATGGTCTGATTATGATATTACAGAATTTAATGTTGTTATGTATCTAAAAAGTATTTATTAAATATTATGATCTTTACATTGCTATGTTATAAATATTGTGTATGTCCTTCATTAGAGTTTCATATTTGATTAAATGTGCATTTGCTCTCAGTTCTGAACACACACATACACATGTATATGACTTTTTTTTTTTCTAGTTCTGAAGATGTGGTCTGTAGACTTAGAGGACAACAGCTTACACTGCCACATATTATCGCTAACGGTTTCAACAAACCTATTTTGGTTGAAGATAGAAATGGGCTGGATCTCATCGTGCCCCATGACTCCTTTAATGTCCTGGATGTTGAGAATTATGTTGGTAAGTGAGTACAACAATAAATCTTACTGATAATTTTTATATTTTTATACTATGTTATGTAGGTAGTAGGTTGGTAGACAGCAACCACCCAGGGAGATACTACCATCCTGCTAAGTGAGTGTGAAACAGAAACCTGTAACTGTTTTACATGATGGTACGATTACTGGTGTCCCTTTTTTCTGTCTCAAACACACTGGATAACAGATATATCTTGCTACTTCTACTTAAACTAAGGTCACACTACACAGGCATGCACATGCATACATACACACATATAGGTTTTTCTTCCTTTTCTTAATAGTTCTTGTTCTTCATTTCCTCTATTCTCCATGGGGAAGTGGAAAAGAATGCCAGGAGCACTGGTCTTGTAACCCCTTCTCCTGTAGAAAATGCTAAAAAAGAGTAGAAGAAAAACATTATAAAGCTGGTATGCTTGAATGTGCATGGATGTAGTGCATATGATGAGAAAGAGATGATTTCTAATGTTATGAATGGAAAGAAGGAGGTAGGCGAGTTTCAGTTGGGAGAGAGAAATGGGATTAAGTCAGGAGTATCTGAGAGTGTTAGAGCTAGGGAAGGGGTAGCAATAATGTTGAAGGATCAGTTATGGAAGGAGAAGAGGGAATATAAATGTATAAATTCAAGAGTTATGTGGATTAGTATAAGGGTCGGATGCAAAAGTGGGTCATAATAAGTGTGTATGCACCTGGAGAAGAGAGGAGTGTAGAGGAGAGAGATTTTGGGAGATGTTAAGTGAGTATGTAGGAACTTTTGAACCAAGTGTGAGTAATATTTAATTATTGAGAGAGTAATTGTGGTAGGGAGAAACATTTAGAGAGGGTGTGGTAGGTAAGTTTGGGGTACCAAGTGTAAATGATAATGGGGGGGCCCTTTGATTGAACTTTGTGTAGAAAGAGATTTGGTAATAGGTAATAAATATTTTAAGAAAAAGAGGATAAATAAGTATACAAGATATAATGTAGGGTGTAATGACAGTAGTTTGTTGGACTATGTATTGGTAGATAAAACACTGTTTGGTAGACTCCAGGATGTGCATGTTTATAAAGGGGCCACAGATATATCAGATCACATTTTAGTTGTAGCTACAGTGAGAGTAAAAGGTAGATCGGATAGAAGGAAAAATAGAAGCAGCAAGTAAGAGAGAGGTGAAGGTTTATAAACTAAAGGAGGAGACAGTTAGGGTAAGATACAAAACTACTGGAGGATGGATAGGCTAGTGAGAGCATCAGCACTGGGGTTGAAGATGTATGGGGTAGGTTTAAGAATGTAGTGTTAGTGTTAAGCAGAAGTTTGTGGTTACAGGAAAGTGGGTGTGGGAAGGAAGGAGCGATTGGTGGAATGATGATGTAAAGAGTGTTCCTTTGTTCTTATGTATAATGAATATTTTTTGATGTAGCTACATTCAGTCATTCACATGCAACACAAGAAAGCCCTCCTTGACCTTAATGCAGATTTTACCCATAAGCCTATCTTCCAAATAATTGACTGTGATCAAGGAAGTCGTGAACTCCTATCTATCGGGAAAATGATTTTCAGCTCTGTCAGTGTCAAAGCAAAGTAAAAGAACTTTCTCCTGGACATTGAGAAACTAATGTGAGGCACTTTGAAGAAGAAAGCTCTCTACAACCCTTGGATTTAGCACTTAATTTGATTTTATCATCATTTTCGAAGAAGAAATCACTCCCTCATGAGATAAGCTGATACATGGAACAGTAGCAAAAAATCCATTGGCTGAATGATGAACACTTTCATGTCATTTCACTGTTTTTATATTTTATTAATTATGATTCATTCTGATTTGATAGATATTAACAGAAATGGAGGAGATGCTGTTTGTGTCACATACTTTGTAACACTTTTTTTTTTTCTTAGGACCTGAACACGAAGTGGATGTTATTGATGTACAGAGACAGTCAGATGTTAAGATGCAACTTCACGAATTCATAGAGTATTTTTTGAGTCCCGCCAGAACAACAGTCCTTAACCTCATCAGCCTTGAATTTTCAAACACCAGGTAAGAGTTAAAATTATATTTGACTGTCAAAACATGATTTAGATACTTGGGGTATTAGAAGTGGTGGTGCAGGGAGCCACCAAGTGGTGGTGCAGGGAGCTACCAATTCATTTTTCAACCTACTCTTAGAAATGGAGCTCTGTCGTTAAGTTAGGAGAGACTGCATTTTGTATTTAACAGCAAGAACTTGGCCAACTATTATTGTCCAAGTTCTTGGCTGTCATAAGATTTTCAAGGTTAGGTTCTACCACCTTTAATTATTTATAACGTACTGAATTATAAAGCGTGAAAATATCCAGTAATAAATCTGAAATTTAGTCTGATTTAAATAAAAACTTGGGTTTTTGAGATGCCTTGTGAATTTTATAATATTTTGTTGATTGTCTTGCATTTTGATAACTTCTTTTCCTTCATTACAGTCTTTCTCAGTTAGTCGAGCCGCCCTATATTGTTCGGAAATTGTGTTGGGTGACAAGCTCCTGGCCAACAGATCCTCCGCCCGGTCCACCACTCTCTCGTCCTAATGTGTCTAAATATGCCCTGATAGGTGTAGAGAACTCGTATACAGATTTTCACATAGACTTTGGGGGCACATCTGTATGGTATCATGTTTTGTGGGTAAGTGTGGATTTCACTCTGTTATTTATTGGTTATGTTTTCCAACTCTAAGAGCAGAAAAACACCTGTATGATATTACATATATACAATACTGTATTTTAATTTACTATTGCATTATTACAAAATGTTGTCTGTTAATGCATTTCCTTTTGCTGAAAAAAGTGTCACTTGTATGTTGTAAGTACATTATTATTTTGTCATGACTTTTCTCCTCCACTGTAGAATTGTATCCAAATTAAAGCTCATAATGTAAGAATATTTGTGGTAAGCAGAAAATAAGAAAAAAGCCAAAACTGAGAATTAGATGGATAAAAACTGGCCATAAAATGGAAACCTAAAGACTGAGATATTACATAAAAGCGATTATATATGAATATTCTGGGAAATTGCAGGTATATATAAAGAAATGTAGGTATCAACACCCTATAAAGGTATGAATTTGCCGAAAGGTCACGGTAGCTATGAAGACAAGTGTTGGTTCTGTTACCCAAAAATTATGTAAGAGCTCATTTATATTTTTTTTAACAAACTGGCCATATCCCACTGAGGCAGGGTGACCCCCCCCCCCCCCCATTTTTTTTTCCAACAAGTCGGCCGTCTCAAACCGAGGCAGGGTTACTATGCCCTTGCTCCGAGCATTATAGTCACCTCTTATGACACACATGGCTTATGGAGGGAAAATTCTTTTCCACTTCCTCATGGAGATAGGAAATAAAGAAGAACAACTATTAAGAAAATAGAAAACCTAGATGGGTGTGTGAACATATATGCATGTGCATGCATGCGTAGTATGACATAAGTGTAAGTAGAAGTAGCAAGATATACCTGTTATCTTGCATGTTTACTTTATTTTATGAGGAAGAAATGTTTTGGCTTCTTTAAACAAACCGGCCATATCCCCCCGGGTTGGGGGGCTCAAAAAGAAAAACGAAGTTCCTTTGTTAATTTAAATAGTTAAAAAGGAGAAGGGGTTATCCCCTTGGGCCCCTGCATTTTGTCCCCTTTAAATGAATGTGGCTTACAGAGGAAGAATTCTGTTCCCACTTTCCCACGGAGTAGGAAAAACAAGAACAAGAAATGTAAAAAAATAGAAAAAAACCCCAGAGCAGGATGTGAGTGTGGGGGAGGTGGTGAGGCTTTTGTAAAATAAAGGGGGGGTAAAGCTTTGGGAACTGAGGGTTTCATGACAGAAATTTTAAAAAGCGGGGGGGGGGGGGGGGGGGGGGACATGTGTTGGAAGGTTGGTCTTTGTTTAGTAAGTATAAAAAGGGGGAAGGACCGGGTTTGGCAGAGGCAGTTAGTCCCTTTTATTAAAAGGGAAGGGGGAAAAAAGGATTTTAAAAATTATAAGGGGAAATAATTTTTACTGAGTATACAGGAAAAGTGTATGGTAGGGTTATTTTGAAAAAATTTTGAGGCAAGACAGAATGTAAATTTGGGGGGGTTGGAAAAGGAGGTTTTAGAGTGGGGGGGTGTGTAGTCAAGGTTTACATTAAAAGATATATGTGAGCAGTATTTAGATAAAGGTAGGGAATTTTTTTATTGCATTTTGGATTTAGAAAAGGCATATGACAGAGGGTAGGGAAGAAATGTGGCAGATTTGCAAGATATGGATAGGTGGTAAGTTACTAAGCTGTAAAGAGTTTTTATGGGATAGTGGGGTCGGTTGGGGTATGTAGAAGAGAGAGAGATATTTCCTTGTAAAGTAGGTCTTAGACAGGGATGTGAAATGTCCCCGGTTGTTTAAAAAATTTTTATGAGGGGTTGTAAAAAAAGAAAATTTGGGGTGTTGGGGAGAGGGGGGGTGGGTTTAAAATTTTGGGGGGAAATTTAAAAATACAAAAGGGAAGCGACAGTTACTTTTTGCTGAGATACGTGCTTATGGGAGTTCTAAAGAAAAATGCGAAAGGGTTTGTGGACGAATTTTGGGAGGTGGGGTAAAGGAGAAAAATTGAAAGTGGATAGAAAAGAGTAAGGTGTGGAGTATCAAATGTTTGATAAAAAAAAATTGGATATCGAAAGGGGAGGAGTAGTATGGAGAAGTGAATGTTTTTTAGATTTTGGGGTTTGGGGTCGTGGATGCATTAAGAAGGATGAGGTTAATGTTTTAATTTTATGAAGGAAAAAAAGGGGAGTGGTGATTAGGTATATGGGAGGCAAAAAATGTTTCTTGGAGGCAAAAAAGGGAATGTATAAAATTAGTAGTACCAACATCTTATATGGGGGGGAAGCTTGGGTGGTAAAAAGCAGAGGGGGGAGACGGTTTGGGGGCAGTGGAGATGTCCCGTTTAAGGGCAATGTGGGTGTAAATTTATGCAGAAAATTCGGAGTGTGGAAATTAGGAGAAGGTTGGAGTAAAAAAATATTAGTCGGGGCTGAAAAGGGGTTTTTTGAGGTGGTTTGGTCTTTTGAGAGAATGGATCAAAGTTTTAAGACATGGAGAGCGTATAAATCTGTAGGGGGGGGAAGGGGGGTAGGGGGTCGTCCCCGAAAAAAGGGTTTGGAAAGGGGGGGTAAAGGGATTGTGGGCGGGGGTTTGGACTTCCGCAAGGTTTGATAGGAGTGAATGGAGCAAATGGGGATTTGGGACCTGATGATCTGTTGGAGTGTGAGAGGGGGTAATTTTAGGAAGGTATTGGGAAAACCGGTTATTTTATATAAAATGGACTGAGTCCTGGAAAAGGGAATACAATGCCTGCACTTACAGGAGGGGTTTGAGTATTTACAGTTTGGAGGGATATATTGTGTATTTTTTAGTTATATTCTAAAACTATTGTATTCTGGGACCCTGCAAAAACGGTTTGTGTGAGTGAGGTGAAAGTGTTGAATGATGAAAGTATTTTTTTTTGGGGATTTTCCTTCTTTTGGGCACCCTGCCCCGGTGGGGCAGCCCACTTGTTGAAAAAAAATTTTCTCTCTCTATTTTATATTTTTTTTTTTTTTATATCCACCGGCCCATTCCCACAAAGGGAGGGGCCGAAAAGAAAAATTTTTCCCTATTACCTCACTTCTTGCCAGAAGGGGCTTACACTAAAATTTTTAAACTGCAACATTAACCCCCCCCTTCAGAGTGCAGGCACTGTACTTCCCATCTCCAGAACTCAAGTCCGGCCTGCCGGTTTCCCTGAACCCCTTCATAAATGTTACTTTGCTCACACCCCAACAGCACGTCAAGTATTAAAAACCATTTGTCCCCAAATTCATCCTATCAAACACGCTCACGCATGCCTGTGGAAGTCCAAGCCCCTGCACACAAAACTCCTTTACCCCCTCCCTCCAACCCTTCCTAGGCCGACCCCTACCCCGCCTTCCTTCCACTACAGACTGATACACTCTTGAAGTCATTCTGTTTCGCTCCATTCTCTCTACATGTCCGAACCACCTCAACAACCTTTCCTCAGCCTCTGGACAACAGTTTTGGTAATCCCGCACCTCCCCCTAACTTCCAACTACTAATTCTCTGCATTATATTCACACCACACATTGCCCTAAAACATGACATTCCACTGCCTCCAGCCTTCTCCTCGCTGCAACATTCATCACCCAAAGCTTCACACCCATATAAGAGCGTTGGTAAAACTATACTCTCATTTCATTCCCTCTTGCCTCCAAGGACAAAGTTCTTTGTCTCCCAGATTTCCCAAGTGCACCACTCACTCTTTTCCCTTTATCAATTCTATGATTCACCCCATCTTTCATAGACCCATCCGCTGACACGTCCACTCCCAAATATTGAATAGGGTTCACCTCCTCCCTTACTCTCTCCCTCCAATCTGATATTCAATCTTTCATCACTAATCTTTTTGTTATCCCCATAACCTTACTCTTTCCTGTATTCACCTTTAATTTTCTTCTTTGCACCCCCCTACCAAATTCATCCCACCCAAACTCTGCAACTTCTCTTCAGAATCTCCCAAGAGCACAGTGTCATCAGCAAAGAGCAGCGTGACAACTCCCCCTTTGTGTGTGATTCTTTATCTTTTAACTCCACGCCTCTTGCCAAGACCCTCGCATTTACTTCTCTTACAAACCCCATCTATAAATATATTAAACAACCACGGTGACATCACACATCCTTGTCTAAGGCCTACTTTTACTGGGAAAAAATTTCCCTCTTTCCTACATACTCTAACTTGAGCCTCACTATTCCTCGTAAAAACTTTCACTGCTTTCAGTAACCTACCTCCTCACCATACACTTGCAACATCTGCCACATTCCCCCCCTATCCACCCTGTCATACGCCTTTTCAAATCCATAAATGCCACAAAGACCTCTTTAGCCTTATCTAAATACTGTTCACTTATATGTTTCACTGTAAACACCTGGTCCACACACCCCTATTTTTCCCTAAGCCTCCTTGTTCATTGCTATCCTATTCTCCGTCTTACTCTTAATTTTTCAATTATAACTCTACCTTTACACTTTACCAGGTACACTCAACAGACTTATCCCCTATAATTTTTTGCACTATCTTTTATCCCCTTTGCCTTTATTCAAAGGAACTATGCATTTCTCTCTGCCAATCCCTAGGTACCTTACCCTTTCCATACATTTATTAAATAATTGCACCAACCACTCCAAAAATTTTATCCCACCTGCTTTTAACATTTCTATCTTTATCCCATCAATCCCGGCCTGCCTTACCCCCCTTTCATTTTACCTACTGCCTCACGAACTTTTCCCCCCCCCCTCACAACTGGCTCTTCCTCACTCCTACAAGATGTTTTCCTCCCTTTCCCTATACACGAAATCACAGCTTCCTATCTTCATCAAAATTTAACAAATTTCCCCAAAATATTCCTTCCATCTTCCCCAAAACCTCTAACTCTCCCTTTTTAAAAACTTCCTCTCCTATTTTTAACTGACAAATCAATTTGTTCTCTAGGCTTTCTTAACTTGTTAATCTCACTCCAAAACTTTTCTTATTTTCAACAAAATTTGTTGATAACATCTCACCCACTCTCTCATTTGCTCTCTTTTTACATTGCTTCACCACTCTTTTAAAACCTCTCTCTTTTTTCTCCATATACTCTTCCCTCCTTGCATCACTTCTACTTTGTAAAACTTCTATATGCTAACTTTTTCTCCCTTACTACTCTTTTACATTCATCTTTCCCACCAATCACTCCTTTTCCCTCCTGCACCCACTTTCCTGTAACACAAACTTCTGCTGAAACACTCAAAACAACTTACTTTTTAAATACCCCCATACCTCTTCGACCCCATTGCCTATGCTCTCTTAGCCCATCTATCCCCCAAATTTAGCTTTTTTATATCTTACCCTAACTGCCTCCTCTTTTAGTTTATAAACCTTCACCTCTCTTTCCCTGATGCTTCTATTTCCTTGTATCCCATCTACCTTTTACTCTCAGTTTTAGCTACAACTAGAAAGTGATTGTATATATCTGTGGCCCCTTTATAAACATGTACATCCTGAAATCTACTCAACAGTCTTTTATCTACCAATACATATCCCAAAAAACTACTGTCATTTCGCCCTACATCATATCGTGTATACTTATTTATCCTCTTTTTCTTAAAATATGTATTACCTATAACTAAACCCCTTTCTATACAAAGTTCAATCAAAGGGCTCCATTTTCATTTACACCGGGCACCCCAAACTTACCTACCACACCCTCTCTAAAAGTTTCTCCTACTTTAGCATTCAAGTCCCCTACCACAATTACTCTCTCACTTGGTTCAAAGGCTCCTATACATTCACTTAACATCTCCCAAAATCTCTCTCTCTCCTCTGCATTCCTCTCTTCTCCAGGTGCATACACGCTTATTATGACCCACTTCTCGCATCCAACCTTTACTTTAATCCACATAATTCTTGAATTTACACATTCTATTCTCTTTTCTCCTTCCATAACTGATCATTTAACATTACTGCTACCCCTTCCTTTGCTCTAACTCTCTCAGATACCCAGATTTAATCCATTTATTTCCCCCCACTGAAAACTCTCCTACCCCCTTCAGCTTTGTTTCGCTTAGGGCCAGGACATCCAACTTCTTTTCATTCATAACATCAGCAATCATCTGTTTCTTGTCATCCGCACTACATCCACGCACATTTAAGCAACCCAGTTTTATAAAGTTTTTCTTCTTCTCTTTTTTAGTAATTGTATACAGGAGAAGGGGTTACTAGCCCATTGCTCCCGGCATTTTAGTCGCCTCATACGACACGCATGGCTTACGGAGGAAAGATTCTTTTCCACTTCCCCATGGACAATAGAAGAAATAAAAAAGAACAAGAGCTATTTAGAAAAAGGAGAAAAACCTAGATGTATATATATATATATATATATATATATATATGCTTGTACATGCATGTGTAGTGTGACCTAAGTGTAAGTAGAAGTAGCAAGATGTACCTGAAATCTTGAATGTTTATGAGACAGAAAAGACACCAGCAATCTTTCTTTCTTCTTTCAACACACTGGCCGTATCCCACCGAGGCGGGGTAGCCCATAAGGAAAAACGAAAGTTTCTCCTTTTACATTTAGTAATATATACAGGAGAAGAGGTTACTAGCCCCTTGCTCCCGGCATTTTAGTCGCCTCTTACAACATGCATGGCTTACGGAGGAAGAATTCTGTTCCGCTTCCCCATGGAGATAAGAGGAAATAAACAAGAATAAGAACTAGGAAGAAAATAGAAGAAAACCCAGAGGGGTGTGTATATACATGCTTGTACATGTATGTGTAGTGTGACTTAAGTGTAAGCAGAAGTAGCAAGACATACCTGAAATCTTGCATGTTCATGAGACAGAAAAAAGGACACCAGCAATCTTACCATCATGTAAAACAATTACAGGCTTTCGTTTTACACTCACTTGGCAAAACAGTAGTACCTCCCTGGGCGGTTGCTGTCTACCAACCTACTACCTATAAAATGTTTTGGATATATATACTTAATACAAGATATTCAATCTTCCATTACCTAAATTTTTTGTTACCCTCATCAGCTTACACTTTCCTATGATGGTGTTGATGATTCAGTCGAGGTGAATTCATCATCAGTACTTTTCATTGTAGCTTTCCATGAACTAAATAATACTTTTTTGTGTCCTGTTTTAATTTTCTGTCCTCTTTTCTCAAAAATAATGTTCCATATAGGTTCTCCAAAATTATGATTTATTTTTGCAAGTCTCTCATTCTACAGTGTTAACCATTTTGAAGCATTTTCTTTTATTCATAACTCTTTGCTGTCATATATGTTTGTACATTTATTACCTTTTGCTCATATATTCTCATCTGCGACCCTTCAAGGCAGCTTCCTTGATGCATTTAGAGGGCTCTTGATTGGAAGAATTGGAGCTGTACCCCTCATGCCTTCCCTTCCCTAGGTGCTGTATAAACCATGTGGGTTTAGCTCTTTCCACATGAATATATTGTTTCTAACCATAACCGCTAGAATTTCTCGTACAGTTCAAGATCATTCTTTAGATGAGTTCTCTACACATTCTGGTGTCTAAGATTACTTTTTATTTTGAAATGTACAGTCTCGGCAAAGAAAAAAATACCCCCAAAAAAAATGTTTGGAAAAGTATAGATAAAACATGTAAACAGTTTAATGAACTTTATTAAGAAACTTAAAGAATGCACAACATCAGTATCTGGGCATTTGATCTTTTGTTTACATTACTTTTTTAATTTTTCTGTTTGATACACGATCAGCGGCAAACATTTACACATTTTTTGTCAAAGATTGTTGTTTACAGAGAATGTATAATCAGTATCTACTTCACACTAGATTTCTCTTTAGGCAAGCCATTTTTTTTACGCCGATTTTCTAACTTGAAAACCGTCTCGATTATCAAAATTGTTTTTCTTTTCAGGGAGAAAAAGTTTTTTACCTAATCAAGCCAACACCTGCCAATCTAACTTTATACCAGAGATGGATGAAGGCCAACAACCAGTCAGAAATGTTTTTTGGTGATCAAGTAAGTACATAAGCATAATTTACTCCATGCACACCATTTGTGTGGCATAAACTGTTTTTAGTTTCAGTAAACTGCAATCATTAACCCTTTAATTATCTGTTCCATAGTACCACGGGTTTGAGGTCACTGTTGGTGCCGTAGTACTACGCCATTAGCTCAGCTCACTCAGATAAGATGTGAGCAGTAAATTTGGGCCTAGGTATGAGAGAGTGAATCTATGCAGTAAATGTGCACCATATAAAAAAAATGCTGCAGCACATTGCATAAGGAGAAAAAACTGCGACAGTGTTTTTGGTTTAAAAAGGTGACTTTGCGGTGTATTTCATATGGTTTTTTTATGGTTGTATTCTCGTTTTGTTGGTTTCATTTGATAGACTTGAAGATTTTTTTTTTAACACGTCGGCCATTTCCCACCAAGGCAGGGCGACTCAAAAAAAAAAAAAAAAAACTGAAAGAAAGAAAAAACTTTCATCATTCACATCATTAAACACTTTCACTGTCACTCATACATAATCACTGTCTTTGCAGAGGCGCTCAGATACAAGAGCTTAGACGTCCCTCCAAACTGCCAATATCCCAAACTCTTCCTTTAAAATGCAGGCATTGTACAGTAGGGCCCTGCTTTACAGCATTCCACTAATACAGATATTTCAGATTATGACCAGAAGTCTCTATACGGCTCCCCCACCTGACTTTCTAATATGGTCACCACTGGTCACCCAGTTTTACATTCTCTCTGAGCACAACTCTCCATTATGTCTGGAAACTTTCCAAAATTTCAAATGTTTTAAAATTATTTCATATTTTATATACGTATACTCGGATAATTATACTTATGTTTTCCTGTACCTAAATAAACTTACACACTGTGCTGGCATGCAGGTACACGCTAAAATGACTAAGGGTGTCTTATTAGTCTTGAAGACACCATATTAATAATAACACAATAATCACTCTGAGGTGCACTAAATGTCGTATATTATGTTAATATAGAGTTTTTGATTAATCCATCTATTTTTTTTTTTCAAAATTATACAATAAACATGCTCTGTAACATATAAACATGATAAATACACCCACAGTAGAATAAATTAACATATATACGAGATGTTTTTCCAGTCATCTTGTTGGAGTGTCTGAAAGAATAAGGTTTTCTCTAGTTCAACACCTAAGAAAATGTGTATGCCATCACTCAGTGTTATTCCTTCTAAAAATGGTGTTACATGAGTATAGGAGTGTTTCTCTTTATTTATTCTACTTTACTAACATGGAGACAACTTGTACACAATGTAAGGTGTCTGTATTATGGTATAAGAGTCAGACACGGGAATGAAAGTGTATCAACCAAAACCAGATGCGTTCGTCTGTTTGTTTACATACTCTGTGGCTTTGCCCTCTTTCATTTACTTGTTCTCTCTCTCTTGTTTATACGTTTTTATGTCGTTTACTCGCCTCTCGCCCTACATTAAGACCACAAATATTTTAAGCTAAGTAATGCGTGTTCTGTACATGCATTTTATTGCTCCAGGGTGCTGTAAATGTCGTAGTATATTACCTGTGGGTGTGCTGGCCAGGAGGGCTACTATACCTACCACACCTGACTTCTTACAAATACGTACTACTCGCTCCTCACCCTACATTAAGACTACAAATATTTTGAGGTAAGTAATGAGTGTACTGTGTGTGTATTTTACTTTTTATTGTTTTTTAATGCCTAGTTCTGTTGCTAAATTAATATGTATTAGTGGAAGCTTGTTACCTTGCACATATATGCATTTATTAGTGGAAAATATGACATTCTACTTTCTGGCGATGTCCACTCTCCGGGGGTAGCCTGGAACCTAACCTGCCATATAAGTAGGGCCCTACTGTATTTCCCATTTCTAGGATTCAAGTCTGGCTAACCGGTTTCCTTGAATCCTTTCACAAAATGTTACCTTGCTCACACTCCAACAGCTCATTAAGTCCCAAAAACCATTCGTCTCCATTCACTCTTATCAAGCTCAGACATGCCTGCTGTATGTCCAAACCCCTTGCACTCAAAACCTCTTTTACCCCTTCCCTTCATCCTTTCGTAGGACAACCCCTACCCCTTCTTCCCTCCACTACAGATTATACACCCTCCAAGTCATCCTGTTCTGCTCTATCCTTTCTAAATGACCAAACCAACTCAACAACCCTGTTAATAATACTTTTAGTAACTCCACATCACCTCTTAATTTCCATTTTACAAATTCTCGGCATAATATTTACACCACACATTGCTTATAGACACAACATCTCCACTGCCTCCAGCTTTCTCCTTACTGCAACATTCATAACCTACGATTCTTTGGGTCACCTTACCTTAGTGAGACCTATCATTGATAAAAACTACTGAAATATAATGAATAAATACTGTAGCTGCAAATGCAGAGCTAAGCTTTTGAGTCCCAGCTTTAGTCTGTCACATAGTTTTTTGAAAGTTCTTAATGATTGTGGCACTTAACTTCCTCTTGTAAATTATTCCATTCTGCTACTCTGAAAAAAAAAAAATAGTATCCTTTCAGCAGCTTTTCTTTCTTAATTTATAGTTTGGGTCTCTTATTCTACCAGTTGATTGTGTTACCTGAAGGTTATTTGAAGATGATTCTGGGTGTCACCATCTTTGCAGCCCAGTCACAGACCAGACCTCTTAATTGATAGCCTGATCAACCATGCTGTTGATCCTAGCTGCATGAAGTTCATTGTAAGCACCACCATCTGGCTGATCAGGAAATAACTTGAGAAACTTGTCTAGTTCCTTCTTGAAAACCATGAGCCTGTTGGTATTTCCTCTTGTATTTGAAGGGAGTCTGTTCAAAAGTCTTGGTGCCTTTACACTTGCCGAGTTGTTGCTTGGTGTACTCGGTGTGCCCCTGCTCTTCGTTAGAGGTATTTGCACTGTTTTCCAAGCCTCTTCCTCTTGTAAAGAGTAACTTTGGCATGCAGATTTGGGTCCAATCCTCAAAAAAAAAATTCATGTGTAAATTATATTGTACTTTTCTAATTTATTTTCCAGGCAGTACAATTCAAGGTATGTACTGTAGTTGTTCATAATTTATGTGCTTGACTGAATTTGTAAGTTTAATGAAGGTTCTTTGCACATTCTCCAGTTTTGTAATTGCATCTGCTTTAAATTGTAGGTAGTAGGTTGGTAGACAGCAACCGCCCAGGGAGGTACTACCATCCTGCCAAATGAGTGTAAAACGAAAGCCTGTAATTGTTTTACATGATGGTAGGATTGCTGGTGTCCTTTTTTCTGTCTCATAAACATGCAAGATTTCAGGTACGTCTTGCTACTTCTCCTTACACTTAGGTCACACTACACATGTACAAGCATATATATACACACACCCCTCTGGGTTTTCTGCTATTTTCTTTCTAGTTCTTGTTCTTGTTTATTTCCTCTTATCTCCATGGGGAAGTGGAACAGAATTCTTCCTCCGTAAGCCATGCGTGTTGTAAGAGGCGACTAAAATGCTGGGAGCAAGGGGCTAGTAACCCCTTCTCCTGTATATATTACTAAATTTAAAAGGAGAAACTTTAGTTTTTTCTTTTGGGCCACCCCGCCTCGGTGGGATACGGCTGGTACGTTGAAAGAAGAAAAGAAGAAAAAGAGAAACTTTTGTTTTTCTTTTTGGGCCACCCTGCCTCGGTGGGATACGGCCGGTTTGTTGAAAGAAGAAGAATCTGCTTTAAATGGGGCTGTTTGTGTCAATAGTATTCCAGTCTGGAGAGCTGTCAGTTTTCTTGCATTTGTGATAGCAGTGCTGAAGTGGTCCTTGAATACAAAATATTCTGTTTAGCTCTACTAAGTCCCTCACATTCCTCTTGACTGCTCTGTTGGGTATTTTGAGTTTGTGTTATACTCTGTTTCAGTTTTTAATTCTTAATATTTTCCATAGCAAAGTAACTGAATTTTTTTCTCATTGAACATCATTATTTTCTGTGACCCACTGTAAAACCTGGTTAATATCAGTTTGGATATTTGCTGTCTTCAATGGACGCCACTCTGATACATATTTAGCATTGTCTGCAGTGAATGGTACAATACTATGACTCATATCTTTGCCTATGATGGATATGAGAATGAGTATTATGCCATAAGGGACAGAGGTTTTCACTGTGGTGACCTCTGATTTTACCCTGTTGAGTTTATTACTTTTTGTAGGTAGTAGATCAGCAGACTGGAATCATTTAGGGAGGTACTACCATCCTACCAGATAAGTCTGAAATGGAAACCTGTAATTGTTTTACACAGTAGTAAGATTGCTGGTGTGTCTGCATTCAGTCTCATAAACACATGAGATAACAGGTACTTCTTGCTACTACTTAGGTCACACTACATGTATATGTATACATGTATATGCACACATATCTAAGTTTTCTTCTATTTTTATTAATAGTTCTTGTTCTTATTTATTCCCTTTCATTCCCATGGGGAAGTGGAAAAGACTCTACTCCCCAAACCTTGCATGTTGTAAGAGGCGACTAAAATGCTGGGAGCAAGGATCTAGTAACCCCTTCTCTTGTATAAATTACAGATTGTAAAAATGAAAAACTTTATAAAATTGGGATGTTTGAATGTGTGTGGATGTAGTGCAGATAATGAGAAAGATATGATTGTGAATGTTATGAATGAAAAGAATCTGGATGTCCTGGCTCTTAAGTGAAACAAAGCTGGAGGGGGGTAAGAGTTTCAGTGACCAGAAATATAGGGAATTAGGTCTGGAGTATCTGAGAGTGTTAGACCTAAGGAAAGAGTACCAGTAATGTTAAATGACCTGTCATAGAAGGAAAAGAGGGTCTATAAATTTATAAATTCAAGAATTACGTGGATTAAAATAAGGGTCAGATGCAAAAAGTGGGTTATACTAAGTATTTATGCACTTGGAGAAGAGGAGAGAGGTTTTGGGAGATGCTAAGTGTGTGTTTAGGGAGTTGTAAACCAACTGAGAGTAATTGTGGTAGGGGACCTAAATGCTAAAGTTGGAGAAACTGTTAGAGTGCAAAACAAGTAAGTTTGGGGTGCCAAGGGTAAATGATAATGGGGGCCTTTAATTGAACCTTGTATAGAAAGGTGTTTGGTAATAGGTAATACGTATTTTAAGAAGTGTACATTATTTTGTTGTAATTTCAGTGAGAGTAAGAAGTAAATAGGATACAAGGGGAATGGTATCAGTGAGTAAGAGAGAAGTGAGAGTTTATAAACTAAAAGAGGAAACAGGGTAAGATATAAGCGACTGTTGGGAGAAAGATAAGCTAGTGAGAATGGAGAATGATAAGCTAGTGAGAATATAGGTAATGAGGTGGTGGTTGAAGAGGTATGGGGTAGATTTAAGAATGCACTGTTAGTGTGTTCAGCAGAAGATTGTGGATGTAAGATAATTGGTGTGGGAAGGAAGAGGATTGATTGGTGGAATGATGAGGTAAAGAGAGTAGTAAGAGAGGTAAAGTTAGCATATGAGATATTTATACAAAACAGAACTGAGAAAAGGAGGGTGGAATATATTGAGAGAAAAGGGGAGGTTAAGAGAGTGGTGAGTGAGTATAAGAGGAGAACAAATGAGAAAGTGGGGGAGGTTCTGTCAACAAATTTTGCTGAGAATAAGCAAATGTTTAGGAGTGAGATTAATAGGTTAAGAAAGTCTAGGTATACTATCAAGGATTCCTTAGAAGTCAAATGGTGTTGGAGTTCTATCAGAAATTTTGGAAATGTTGGAAAAGTTTTGGGTCTTGCTAACAAAAAATTAACTTGGATTGTCACTTTTTAGTTTGATTAATGTTTCACTGTTCATTTCTTTGTTACCATTAATGTAAGAACCATCTCCTTTAAGCAAAGGTTCAATACTGGATGTGGGTTTTGCCTTAGATTTTGCATATAAAAGTACAAGTATCTTCACCAGGTGCCAGATCAGCCAGGCTGTGATGGATATGTTGGTCAGTGGGCCACCAGCAGCAACAGCCTGGTTGACCAGGCAAGTACCAGATGAGCCTAGCCTATGTCCGGGCTCCAAAAGCAGAAAAACTCTCAGAACTCATCAGAGGTATATCAAAGGCAAAATTTATAATTAATATTTTAAAATCTTGTAATAACACTTTAAGTATGTGAAATTCTTTCTTCTCTCAAATTCTTTTATAATGCTGTATGTGGTTACCATCTTTTTACTCTTCCTCCTTTCAGTCAGATGTCCTGCCCGATGCTTTCACCCTTTCCTTACAATTTGTACATTTTTAGCTTGAAGAGCTATTTCATAACTTGTCTTTGGACTTGTGTACTGTTAGGTGTAAACACTATACCATCTCTGTGTGTTCCCAGTTTTGCTTAAATGTATATCAGGAATGCATCTTTATTACTATGTAGGGGTTTGTTGCATGTTTTTTCAAATTTGAATGTTTAGTAGTGTAGTTCCTTTTAATTATTAGATGTTTCATTTGTTTAGGTTGATACCTGTTACCGATGTGTGGTTCATGCCGGTGAAACGTTATTCATCCCTACTGGCTGGATCCACGCAGTGCTCACACCTACAGATACACTTGTGTTTGGTGGTAATTTCCTTCATTCTCACAACATTGAACTTCAGCTTCAGTAAGTACTGTACATTAAAATTTCATGCCTGGCTGTTTCTTGTAGTGTTTGCTAATATTAAAAAAGATCTTTGGAATTAATATTTGTAAATCTAAATCGTAGTTTCATATTCTTTATACTAAGCTTTGAAGCTCGAGTTGTCCATAGAAGTATGAGTATGGGGAATAAAAATGGGGACTTTTCCTCCCACTGATATATATTTTTTTTTTCCCAACACATCGGCCATCTCCCATAGAGACAGAGTGACCCAAAAAAGAAAAACACTTTCAGCATCATTCACACACAATCACTGACTTTGCAGAGGCACCCATATACAACAGTTTAGATGTCGCTCCAAACAGCCAATATCCCAGACCCCTCCTTTAAAGTGCAGGCATTGTACTGCCCACCTCTAGGACTCAAGTCCAGCTAACCGGTTTCCCTGAATCCCTTCACACAATATTGCCCTGCTCACACTCCAACAGCTCGTCAGGTCCCAAAATCCATTCATTTCCATTCACACCTGTCTAACATACTCACACATATCCAAACCCCTTGCACACAAAACCCCTTTCCCTTCCCCCCCATCCTGTTTTATAGATACACACATATAAATGTTAGAAAATCTGAAACACTTCCGGTCCCAAGCATTTTGGATAAAGGATTCTCAGCTGTATTAAGAAAATAAATGAAAATTAAGATCTGTGTGTATACTTCTATGTGTACATGTACAGTAGGGCCCCACTTATATGGCAGGTTAGGTTCCAGGCTACCACTAGAAAGCGGACATCGCCGGAAAGCAGAACACCATTTTTTCCATTAATAAATGCCAGATAACAAGTTTACATTAATATATATTAAAGTTAGCAATAGAACTAGGTATTAAAAAACAATATAAAGTAAAATACACACACAGTACATTCATTACTTACCTTAGAATATTTGTAGTCTTAATGTAGGTTGAGAGGTGAGTAGTATTTATTGTAAGAAGTCAGATGTGGTAGCCCCCCTGGCCACCCCACCCACATGTAATATACTACGACATTTAAAGCGCCCTACAGCAATAAAATGCATATCACAGGAAACCCCGGATTTCGTACTTAATCCGTTCCAGAAGGTCTGTCTAAATCCGAAACGTACAAAAACCAAAGTAATATTTCCCATAAGAAATAATGTAAATACAATTAATCTGTTTCAGACACCCAAAAGTATTAACAAATACATTTTATTGATAGTAACTATAGTTTTACATACAGAAAACAATGAGAAATAAATATAAATGACTAATGAAATGGATAAATTAACATTTAAATCACTTTTAGCTTTATGTATTAAAGAGTCTTGTTGGCGTATGGAGACAGTGAGGAGAGTTTGTTTGGAGACAGGAAAAAATACTTGAATATGATGCTAATATCAACTCTTCGGCTTATGTATCTATCACAATTCATGTAATGTGACATAATAAACAATATTAATAACATAGAAATGTGATATACAGTGGACCCCCGGTTAAAATCTTTTTATTCTTAGTAGTCTATGTTCAGGTGCCATGTACCTGACAATTTTTCCCATAAAGGAAATATTGTGAGTATGATTAGTCATTTCATGAACCCCCAAACATACACGTACAAACGCACTTACATAAATACACTTACATAATTGGTCGCATTTGGAGGTGATCGTTAAGCGGGGGTCCACTGTATACTCTAGAATGAATAAAATATGTCATTATGTATGTGATTAGTGGTGGCTATGGCAGCTGCCATTCTCTCTCCTGTTGTGACTATATATCTTCCCATTATGTATTATAAAAGGAAACTGTTTGTGAGGCTAACTGCATTACATCATAGTTTCATAAGGAAAACATTGAAACAATGTATGTAATTTATAAATAATAATTATTGTATAAAAACATAATAATGTAAAGAAAAAAAATGGTTATTGTATGTATACTGTAGTACACACTTACTTTGGAGGAGATGCTGGCAGAGGTTTAGGGTGGTGGAAGATAGCGCAGGTGGCGTATGCTGTCAGTGACCCTATAAACCAACAACATTGGAGTAGTTAGTTCCATGTCGTCCTTTTTCTATCACTTAATCGCTTAACTTACTTGCTACACTTTATCACTGGCTGGCGCTATAGCCTTTATCAACTCCTGCTATTTTAGTATCGTGCATATCATAGACTCTCTGAATCACTGAAGAATTTTATCATGTTTCTCGCCTTCTTTACCATGGTGGCTTATTTCGCAGTCACAATCAATAAACAAGCACAAAAACTGCGAAATGTTTCGGATGACCGCTCACTCAACCAGTGACTGAGCCAGACTGAGGCGGTGTCCTGGCAGGCGGATGTGTCTGATATGTACGATTCCCGGGACAAGGTACGAAATCCAGAGCAAAATTTCACCCAAAAAAGCGTTCTAAATCCAAAATGTCTGATATTCGGTGCATGCGAAATCTGGAGTTCCACTGTGCAGTATACTCATTACCTGCCTTAAAATATTTGTAGTCTTAATGATCTTAGTGTAGGGTGAGATGTGAATAGTATTTATTTGTAGAAAGTCGGGTGTGGGAGGTATGGTAGCCCGTCTGACCACCCTACGTACTGCGACATTTAAAGCTCCCTTGAGTGATAAAATCCATATACAGTACATTCATTGCTTGTCTTAATATATTTGTAGTCTTAATGTAGGGTGAGAGGTGAGTAAATGATACAAAAACGAATAAATGAGAGAGAGAGAAGGAATGAGTAAATGAGACAGAGCCGCAGAGTAAGTATGTAAACAAACGGACGAATGCATCTGATTTTGGGTGATACACGTTCATTCCTGTGTCTGTGAATGTTATACCATAATTCAAACACCTTACATTTTGTCCAAGTTGTCTCCACATTGGTAAAGTAGAATAAATAAAGAGCAACACTCTCATTCTCATATAACACCATTTTTAGAAGGAATAATGCTCTGAGAGAAGGCATATGAAAGGAATAATTTTCTACAGTTACTCCCAGTAATACTATTGTATACACATTTTCTTTGGTGTTGGACTATAGAAAACATTATTTTTTCCGACACTCCGACAACACGACTGGAAAACCATCTCATGTTAATTTATTCTACTGTGGGTGTATTTCATGTTACATAGCATATTCATTTTATAATTTTGAAAAAAATATCATATTGATTAATCAAAATGTCTATATTAACATATACGACATTTAATGCACCTCAGAGTGATTATTATTGTGTTGTTATTAATATGGTGTCAAGACTAATAAAACACTTAGTGATTTTAACTTGTACCTTTATGCCAGCACAGTGTGTAAGTTTATTTAGGTACAGGTACACCTAAGTATAATTGTCAGAGTATATATAAAATAGCTTTAAAATTTTAAATTTTGGAAAGTTTCCAGACATAATGGAGAGTCGTGCTCTCGGAAAATGTAAGCAAACTGGGTGGCCTGCATTGACCTTATTAGAAAGTCAGGTGGGGGAAGCCGTGTAGAGAGTTTTGGTCATAATTTGAAATGTCCATATTAGCGGAATACCATTAGGTTAAACTCCGTAAAGCAGGGCCTTACTGTATATGTAATAGTATGACATAGGTGTGAGTAGAAGTAGCAAGATGTACCTATTTTCTTGCATGTTTGTCAGACAGAAAGAAAAGATTATAATTTTTTATTCTACTTATTTTTTTCAAACTGTGAGAAACAGGATTTTTGTTTTCTGAATTTATCCCACACACAGGAAATTTTAATTCTGGGTATGCCACAATTTAAGGATTAAATAATTTATGTTGAGAATTTCTCCTTTTTCCAGTGAATACTTGATCTGCCGTACTATATATGGTGTGTTGCCTTCTCTTTTATGTGCTGATTCATTAGATATTCTTCATTTATTACTGTTCCAGCATTGTGTGTTAACCAATCATTTTCTTTATGTTTAGATTCCCTTTTTACAGCGATTTTAGATTTTTCTGCGATAGAGTCCTTAGTATATTACGTAACCACTAAGTTGTACTCGCTGAGTTGTACTCTCCAACTTGTGTTTGTGGGGGTTGAGATTGGTCCTTCTTTCTAGACCACTTGGATCACCATCATTGCTTTCTGGATTCTTGAGCCTTATCATTTTTTGCTCTTGAAGAAACTGCGTATTGAGTTTGTCTCCTCCACTTTCTTATACAAGATATTTCACTTTTCAACTAGTATGTGTATAGGTATGTATGTATAGCATTTATGCATGTATGTACATATGAATGTATGTACGTATGTTTAACAGTTCGCAAACAGGCGAAAATATTTACAAGCATTATATCCACAGCATGACTCTAACCTGCAAACTCTGCATCAAAGTTTACAGTACTTTATCAATGACGCCATTACTCCAAATAAGTATGGGCATTTAGGCGGAGCTAGATGATGTTTCCCCATACCCTGGAGCACCAGGCTCATTTTCAAAGTTCTTTCAACACACCAGCTGTATCCCACCGAGGCAGGGTGACCCAAAAGAAAAAACGAAAGTTTCTCCTTTTACGTTTAGCAATATATACAGGAGAAGGGGTTATTAACCCCTTGCTCCTGGCATTTTAGTCACCTCTTACGACATGCATGGCTTACGGAGAAAGAATTCTTTTCCACTTCCCCATGGAGATAAGAGGAAATAAACAAGAACTGTTAAGAAAATAGAAGAAAACCCAGAGGGGTGTGTGTGTGTATATATGCTTGTACATGCATGTGTAGTGTGACCTAAGTGTAAGTAGAAGGAGCAAGGCATACCTGAAATCTTGAATGTTTGAGACAGAAAAAAGACACCAGCAATCCTACCATCATATAAAACAATTGCAGGCTTTTGTTTTACACTCGGCAAGACAGTAGTACCTCCCTGGGCGATTGCTGTCTACCAACCTACTACCTAGGGTTTTCAAAGTTATTTCATCAAATCCTGCCACATGCAGTGAACAGTGAAAGAGATTTGAAATGCTTAAGGGGAAATAGACTACTCAGCGCGAACGAAAAATTTTTGTCGAAAAATTCACAAATTGAGTTAATCTTATAGAAAAATAGCTTAACTCTCTGGCAACACAATGGTACCAGAATCATTGTTCTATGACATTCCTACAAGGAATTATGGTTATTTAAAACACCTAGGGTGATGTCACCACCCGCGGCAGGTGTGCTCGCCTGTCGTCAATTTTCATTTTTTTTTCCGTTTTTTTTCGTGTATTTATTGTGTTATTCTTTCTAAGATAATAATTGACGATTTGGCCTCATAATACAGTGGGTGGGACTTATTCGTAGACTTCCAGCCAACCAGGAACCTTCTGGCACCATTTTGCCGATTTTTTTTTTTTTTTTTTTTTTCAACAAGTCGGCCGTCTCCCACCGAGGCAGGGTGACCCAAAAAAGAAAGAAAATCCCCAAAAAGAAAATACTTTCATCATCATTACAACACTTCACCACACTCGCACATTATCACTGTTTTTGCAGAGGTGCTCAGAATACAACAGTCTAGAAGCATACACATATAAAGATACACAACATATCCCTCCAAACTGGCCAATTATCCCAAACCCCTCCTTTAAAGTGCAGGCATTGTACTTCCCATTTCCAGGACTCAAGTCCGACTATATGAAAATAACCGGTTTCCCTGAATCCCTTCACTAAATATTACCCTGCTCACACTCCAACAGATCGTCAGGTCCCAAGTACCATTCGTCTCCATTCACTCCTATCTAACACGCTCACGCACGCTTGCTGGAAGTCCAAGCCCCTTACCCACAAAACCTCCTTTACCCCCTCTCTCCAACCCTTTCGAGGACGACCCCTACCCCGCCTTCCTTCCCCTATAGATTTATATGCTTTCCATGTCATTCTACTTTGATCCATTCTCTCTAAATTTTGCTGATGTCATGGAAAATTCCAGTCTCGGGATGGCCGGGGAATATGCTTCAATATAACGCTATTATAGCTTCTATGGCTTATTTATCTATCACAATTGATCTAATATGACATAAACAATATAAATAACAAAGAAATATGGTAAATACTCCAGAATGAATAATATATGGCATATTCTCAGAGCGTTCCCTCTGGAATAAAAGACTCCCATCGTCAGGAATGGGCTTCCATTCTCCTTCTTTCACCTCCAGGGTCCTTATATTAAAGAAAATGAACATGGGGTAACTATGATATACACTCGTAATGCTGAGAAAAATCCTATTTTCTCGAAAAAAAAAAAATTGGTGGTCCGGCTGTTTCGCGGATTATCTCGGAAGTAAGTTATTCACATATATGAGCCAGTATATTTTTTAATAATAGCAGGAATGTAATGAAATTCACAGAGAACATAAAGGAAAGATTGTTTTATAAGCAAATGGACAGTTTTTTGAGATATCATAATTTGTTTTTGATTTTTGTGAGGGCAAAAGTCAGATATTTGGCTGAATGTCAAAACCATACAAACTTTGTTTTTAAAAATGAAAAAAGTATAAATTACAGTTTGGACGTCCATTTGAAATAAAGTTTAGCATTGTTTTATGCGTAGATAATGCCAAAACAGCTTCTCCAAGTCCCATTACGAAAATACTGTTCAATATGTATGATTATTAGTAAATAATTTTTTTCTCAGTTGTTTTTTGACCTATCTTATTGAAACTTGGTCACATTACTATTGAAAGGTGCTTCTTTACATACAAAAAAAAAAAATGAAAGAAATCAAACGAAAAATAAAAAAGTTCAATTGCGAAAATTACATTACCACAAATTACATTATCACAAACAGGCAAAATTATTTGCAAATATAATCCCTACATCCACAGCAGGACTCAAACCTGCAATCATGGATAAAGTACACATATGTACTGTGAACTCCGATGCAGAGTTTGCAGGTTCGAGTCCTGCTGTGGATGTAGAGATAATGTAGGTATGTATGTATGTACGGCAGGCTCTGCTTTACAGTGCTTCGCTTTACAGCTTTTCGCTAATATAGCAGTTTTCAGTTATACCCGTTCTTCGTTTATTCAGACTTAGTACAATATATACCCCACTTGCTATAAGCTAAGGATGTACAATGGACCCCCGGATAACGATATTTTTAAATTCCAGAAGTATATGTTCAGGTGCCAGTACTGACCGAATTTGTTCCCATAAGGAATATTGTGAAGTAGATTAGTCCATTTCAGACCCCCAAACATACAAGTACAAACGCACTTACATAAATACACTTACATAACTGGTTGCATTGGGAGGTGATCGTTAAGCGGGGGTCCACTGTATATGCATATTTTAGGCCTAGCTATATTGCTCACCTAATATAGTGCAAACATGTTATCAGGCTTTTTTATGTATTTGAAATTGAAAAAAAAGTTATGATTCACTTTACAGCAGTAGCTCTGAACCTAACCTGCTGTATAAGTGGGGCCCTCCTGTATGTATGTATGTATGAATAATGTATGTATGTATAAATTTATATAGTATTTACTTTTTATTATTCTAGGATATATGAGCTAGAGAAACAAATCAATGCTCCTGAGAAATTTCGATTCCCACACTATGAATGTGTGTGCTGGTACACAGCCTCCAGGTTGGTGATGGAACTAAAAGATATGGCTGCAGCTGGAACAAGAGTCCCTCCAATTATGATTGCTGGTGCCCGGGCACTCTCTTCAGCCCTCAGACAATGGGGAGGAGAGGTAATATATTATTTTACAAAAGTAACAGTTAAATTGACCAAGGGATGATTTATTTTGTCATTTTTTTTTTTGTATTCTTTCCTCTTTCTGTTCATGTATGCATGCATTTATTCAATGCACCGACTGTCTCTCATGGAGGCATTGTGATCCAAAAAAGAAAGAAACATTTTTGTCATCTTTCAGCACATTAACCATCATTCACACATAATCACTGTATTTGCAAAAGTGGCCAGATATGATATTTCAGATGTCTCTCCAACTGCCAATATCCCAAATCCCTCCTTTAAAGTACAGGCATTGTACTTCTCATTTCCAGGACTCAAGTTCAGCTAACCAGTTTCCCTGAATCCCTTCACAAAATATTACCCTGCTCATACTCCAACAGCTCGTCAAGTCCCAAAAACTATTAGTCTCCATTCACTCCTATCTAACACGCTCACGCACGCTTGCTGGAAGTCCAAGCCCCTCGCCCACAAAACCTCCTTTACCCCCCTCCCCCTCCAACCTTTTTTGGGATGACCCCTACCCTGCCTTCCTTCCCTAGCAGATTAATAAACTCTCCAAGTCATTCTACCATGTTCCATTCTCTCTGAATGACCAAACCACCTCAACAGCACCTCTTCAGCCCTCTGACTAATACTTTTAGTAACTCCACACCTCCTCCTAATTTCCACACTACAAATTCTCTGCATAATATTTACACCACACATTGCCCTTATTCATGACATCTCCACTGCCTCCAGCTGCCTCCTCACTGCAGCATTTACAACCCATGCTTCACATGCACCATTCGGCTTTTTTTCCTTCATCAATTCTATGGTTTACCTCATGCTTCATAAGCCCATCCACTGACAAGTCAACTCCCAAATATCTGAAAGCATTCACTTCTTCCAAACTCCCTCCCACTACTGTGATGTCCAATTTTTCTTTTTCTAAATCGTTTGATAACCACATCACCTTACTCTTATCTACGTTCACTTTCAACTTTCAGCCTTTACACACACTCCCAAACTTGTCCACTAACCTTTGCAACTTTTCTTTAGAATTTCCCATAAGCACAGTATCATCAGAAAAAAGTAACTGTGTCGGCTCCCATTTTGCATTTAATTCCCCATAATTTAATCTCACCTCTCTCCTCAACACCCTAGCATTTACTTCTTTTACAACCCCATCTGTAAATACGTTAAACAACCATGGGGACATTACACATCCCTGTCTAAGACCTACTTCTACTGAGAAGCAGTCTCCCTCTCTCCTACACCACCCTAATCTGAGCCTCACTATCCTTATAAAAACTCTTTACAGCATTTAGTAACTTACTACTTATTCCATACACTTGCAGCATCTGCCACATTGTTCCCCTGTCCACTCTATCATATGCCTTTTCTAAATCCTTTAATGTAATGAAAACTTCCCTACCTTTATCTAAATACTGTTCACATATTATATGCTTCAATGTAAACTCTTGATCTACACATCCCCTATCCACTCTAAACCCTTGTTGCTCATCTGCAATCCTACTCTCTGTCTTACCTCTAATTTTTTCAATAATAACCCTACCATACACTTTACCTGGTATACTCAGTAAACTTCTTCCCCTATAATTTTTGTAATCTCTCTTGTCCCCCTTCTCTTTTATATAAAGGAATTATACACGCTCTGTCAATCCTTAGGTACCTTCCCTTCTTTCATTCATTTATTAAACAAATACACCAACCACTCCAATACCATATATCCCACTGCTTTTAACATTTCTGTCACGATCCTATCAGTTCCAGCTGCTTTAATCCCCTTTCATTTCACATAATGCCTCATGCAGCTCCCCCACACTTTCATCCTGCTCTTCCTCACTCTTAAAAGATGTTATGCCTCCCTAGCCATTGTATGAAATTACTGCCTCCCTTTCTTCATTGACACTTGAAAGTTCCTCAAAATATTCCCGCCATCTACCCAAATACCTCCAGTTCCCCATCTACTACTCCCCTACTCTGTTTTTTAACTGACAAATCCATTCATTCTCTAGGCTTTTTTAACTTTTTTATCTCACTTCAAAAATTTTTCTTATTCTCAGTAAAATTTCTTGACAGTGCTTCTCCCACTCTATCATTTGCTCTCCTTTTGCACTCTCTCCCCACTCTCTTCACCTTTCTTTTACTCTATATATACTCTGCCCTTCTTATATCACTTTACTTTGTAAAAACCTCTCATAAGCTACCCTTTTCTCTTTTATCACACCCTGTACCTCATCATTCCTCTTTCCTCCTGCACCCACTCTCCTATAGCCACAAACTTCTGCCCCACATTCTAATACTGCATTTTTAAAACTTTCCCATCCCTCTTCAACCCCCACCCCCCCCCCCACATACTTGCACTAGTCAACCTTTCTGCCATTTGTTACTTATATCTCACCCTAACTTCCTCCTCCCTTAGTTTGTAAACTTTCACCTCTCTCTCTCACTTGTTAGCATTTTCCTTTTGTCCCATATGCCTCTTACTCTAACTGTAGCTACAACTAGATAATGATCCGATATATCCGTTGCCCGTCTATAAATATGTACTGTATCTCTAATTAATATTTTCTTTCAAATAAAAGAGTATTTTTTTAAATAATTTTTGTAGTTTTGAATGATGGGTGGGGATGTTGCAGTATTTTTTGGCTCATTTGAATTATAATATCTATGAGCTTCTGGAAAGACAGCTAGAGTGCAAGTTCACTGTGTTTCCTATTGATCACCCTACCTTGGTTGTGTGCACTTTTGTATGATAAGTATTAAACCCCATACATGACCAAAAAAAAGGGCACTTGCCTTATTAGTTGACATCTCAGATCCTCGGCAGCCGCATGCTGAGGATCTCCTTCAATCTTGGCTCTCTCTGTCCCACAGGTCTGTGAAAGGTGACCCTGGTTAACTCTTCGTCCTAAGAATTATATATTCCTCTATTTCATTTTAGCTACGTGGAACATTGAGGACGATATCTACCTGGTATTGGGCTATTGCCCTTGTGTCATGACCTTGTTATGGTGTGACTTATTCATCTAACATGGACCTAGGTACTGCAGTAAGGTAAGAGGACGAATTTAAGAGAGAGAATAGGACCTACCTGGCTCATTAGTAACAGGAGCCTTGTTACGCTGATGACGTCACGGAAGCCGGTGTCATTGACTTCAGTAAAGAAATGATGGATGTTGAATGGTTTAGTCACTCTGGAATGTTTGTTGGACATTATTTCAACACACTGGGTACTACATTGTTTAAAAGTCACTCGACTACCATCACTTGTTTGGAAGTTCACATTGTGAATATATTTGTGGAAACTGTCCATGGTAGGGAGAATGTTAGCAAGGACACGAATAGTTTTGACACTGTATCTTGCTCCAGTTCTCCCAATGATTGAACTTGAGAAACAACACGGAGATGCATATTGAACACTAAAGTAAGTTTATACTCATGATCAGACATTCTACTGTAGGATTTCCTTCACTCACACTAGTGGAACTAGAAGTCTAGTATTCCAGGAGATTGTCAGTGTGGTTAAGGGTTTATGAACGTAAGATACGGCTACAACTGTCTTTGTTTCAATGCAGTATGGTCTGCTGGCCTGACAAGTTCACCCAGCTTCCGCACACTCCTTGTCTGACATACGGAATAAAGATGCTCGATGCCAGTACGTATTTCCAACAGACTTCAATCAAGGATTACTGTTTCCTTCAGTTCTAGATATGGGCTGTAGGAATTAATATCCCTAGCTTTATTATCAAGTAGAAGGCAGTTTATCTCGAAGTTTTAATGGTCTGGGGAAACAGCAGTTCCCTCAGACTTAAACTCTAATGTACAGTTGACCAAATACTCTCTCGTAAGGAGAGGTTTGGTCTCATGACACCTTTGTCTAACATATGCTTCTGATCTGTGTTCAATTTGCAGTGTTTGCTTGGTAATGAACACATGCAGCTGAGCTGTTGTTTTGACATACGTTCAGTCTTCGTCTTGAGTGTGGGAATGAAAAGAGAGATCATAGCTACCCCCTTTTGAGAGGGGAGATATCACCCCCTTTCCTAAACTGGAGAATATTCTCCAGTTTAGGAAGGGGGAATAATATCCCCCCTCTCAAAAGGGATAGCTCTCTGAAATGGGGGTAGCCCTCTCAAATGGGTGTAGCCCTCTCAAATGGGGGTACCCCTCTCAAATGGGTGTATCTCTTGCAAAAGGAAGTAGCCCTCTCTTCCTAAACTGGAGAATATTCTCCACATTGGTGGAAAATGGATGATGTGTTAAAAAATAATGTATAGTATATACTATAATGAGACTTGCTCAGTGCTCTCTCTCTTATTGGTTATCATGAAAACATACGGTACTAATGATAAAGATAATGAAGCCTTCAGGAAACAGTGATATTCATCATTGTCATAATGTTAAGATGCAGTATGCAGTTTGGCATTTTTTTTTTTTTTTTTTAACACGACAGCTGTCTCCACCAAGGCAAGGTGACCCAAAAAAGAAAGAAACAATTTCACCCATCATTCACACATAATCATTGTCTTTGCAGAGGTGCCCAGACATAACAGTTTAGATGTCACACCAAACAGACTATGTCCCAAACCCCTCCTTTAAAGTGTAGGCATTGTACAGTGGAATCTCGATTTTTGTATGCCCTAATTTTGAGAATAACTAGTGTTATTCTCTATAAAATGTATTTTTTTTTAATATTTTTGGGTGTCGGAACGGATTAATTGGATTTACATTATTTCTTATGGGAAATATTGCTTCGAGTTTTCATACGATTCGGTTTTTGTCAGACTTTTGCAAACGGATTAATCACAAAAAAACAAAGTTCCACTGTATTCCCCACTCCAGGACCATAAGTCCAGCTAACCAGTTTCCCTGAATCCCTTCACAAAATATTACCCTGCTCACACTCCACTCTACTGTTGATATACCCTTTGTTTGCTTTTAGCACTTTTTTGTAAATGTTATAAGTAATATAATTGTTGGTATATTCTACCATTTATATACATTCTAACTACTTTTAGCATTTTATAATAAGATTGAGGTCTTAGTTAACTTATCCTTATTCTTCAGAACGGTAGAGGTGGGCTTGAGCCAGTGCCCCCAGGTATCAATCCTCTGAAGTTGTTTAAAGATCTTCAAAGGGAGATTCGTTCGGCTGAAAAGCAAGTAATTGCTCTAAACCCACCCAAACCTGAGCGTGAATCAAAAAGAAGAAAAAAGAAGGTCCTGGCAGAAGACTTCATTGACTACACCAATCTCACCAGCTTTAATAATGTTCTTGAAGAAAGATTGCCAGACAGGAAAGTCAAAGTACTCAAGGTCAACTCTCCTCAAGTAAGTTGTTTAAATATATGAACTAAGAATAGTTTTAAATTTTAGAATGAATTGCTGAAGTTTTGACTGAAAGAAATGTTTGAATTTTACAATAATTATAAAGTGTCACTTTTATAGGTCTCATTTTAGGTAACAAGGGTCACAATACACAGAAATGTTCTCTGACTGATGTATTCCTTAGTACCAACAAGTCTTGAATCAAGTTATCGTATCCTAGGGTTACGATAACTTGATTCAAGACTTGTTGGTACCGAGTTATAAAATTAAGTATTCGTTAAAAAAATACTGGGACCTTCACTTGTATGTTAACTACCAGTAAATATCACTGTCTTGGGGAATTAACTATTAATTCTAGCCAGAAAAATGGCTTAGAATAACCCCTTCTGATTTGGAGTGCTGACACCATTAGTAAATGTTTAAATACCCTTAAGATGGGGTAGGGATCAGCCTAAGAAGAAAGGGGGTAGAGGACATTTTGTGTGCAAGGGGCTTGGACTTCGAGCAAGCATGCATCATCATGTTAGATAGGAGCAAATAGAGATAAATGGTTTTTAGGACTTGACGTGCTGTTGGAGTGTGAGCAAGGCAACATTTATGAAGGGATTCAGGGAAGCCGGCAGGCCAGACTTGAGTCGTGGAGATGGGAAGTACAGTGCTTGCACTGTGAAGGAGGGGTGTTAATGTTACTGTAGTGTAAGCATGCCTCTGGCAAGACAGTGATGGAGTGAATGATGATGAAAGTTTTCTCTTTCAGGCCACCCTGCCTTGGTGGAAAACGGTCGATGTGTTAATGAAAAATAACTTTTTTTTTTTTTTTACACACTTGTCATCTCCTACTGAGGCAGGGTGACATTCTTCTTTTTACATTTAATAATTTATACAGGAGAAGGAGTTACTAGCCCCTTGCTGTTCTCATTTTAGGCACCTCTTACGACACGCGTGGTTCACGGAGGAAGGATTCTTCTCCATTTGCTCGTGGAGTATAAGAAAAATTACCTTATACAGTAGAGCATCAGATGTCTAGAAAACTTTGGACAATCTGGAATACTTGGGACCAAGCTGTTCTTTGATGATAATTCCTATCCACTTATCACTTACATCAGCCAGCTGCATCATCTATGCATCAGTATCTTCTTGTACACTTTGTTCATTTTTATTAACTTTCTTCTCTGCTTACACACTACATTATTATCCTGTATGTTGAAGATACCCTTAATGCCATGTTGTCAGTTTGTAGTAACTTTCATTACAGTGTGGCTAATATTGAGTTTGTGTATTCCAGTAGCAGTGGGCCCCACTTTTACAGCTGTTAGGTTCCTGACCCCAGGAGATAAGCTAAAAATGCCAGAGAGTGGAAAAGAGCAGTTTTAAATATTGAATACATCTAAAACCCCTGATAATGTATTTACACAACCATATATTCATTATGCAGTACAGCTAGGCATAAAAAATCAAATACAAAAGTAAAATACACACACAGTACATAAAATACTTGCCTTAAAATGTGGCACCAGTCGCCCTTCCCTTACACAGCTTTTGTGTGAAGATGGCGGAAAACTAGAAAAAGCACCAGACATAATGAACAATGGCTCAGTTGAAAACCACCAAAAACAAGGAATACCGCAAAGAGGGTACCAAATATATGGAAACCTCCTGTTTTGAAGAAATTTCACTCTTATGGAATATGCAAAATATGACCTAATATGAGAAATAGCATGAAAATTTAAAAAAGTAAATGATGATTTATTAAAAAAAATAGTCCATGTGAAACACAAAGACTTGCATAAATCAAAGTGTGGTGTGTGTGTGTGTGTGTGTGTGTGTGTGTGTGTGTGTGTGTACTCGCCTAATTGTACTCGCCTAATTGTGGTTGCAGGGGTCGAGACTCAGCTCCTGGCCCCGCCTCTTCACTGATCGTTACTGGATCCTCTCTCTCTCTGCTTCCTGAGCTTTGTGTGTGTGTGTGTGTGTGTGTGTGTGTGTGTGTGTGTGTGTGTGTGTGGTGTGTGTGTGTGTGTGTGTGTGTGTGTGTGTGTGTGTGTGCGCGCGTGTGTGTGGCGCGTGTGTGTGCGCGCGTGTGTGTGGCGCGCGTGTGTGTGGCGCGTGTGTGTGGCGCGTGTGTGCGCGCGTGTGTGTGCGCGCGTGTGTGGCGCGCGTGTGTGCGCGCGCGTGTGGTGCGGCGCGTGTGTGTGGCGCGCGTGTGTGAGCGCGCGTGTGTGAGCGCGCGTGTGTGAGCGCGTGTGTGAGCGCGTGTGTGAGCGCGCGTGTGTGAGCGCGTGTGTGAGCGCGTGTGTGTGTGTGCGTGTGTGTGTGCGTGTGTGTGTGTGCGCGCATGTGTGTGCGTGCGCGCATGTGTGTGCATGTGTGTGTGTGCGTGTGCGCGTGTGTTCACATTTCATACTGCATTTCTCGGTGTAGCGCCCACCCAGCTACAGTACCCACTCTATACATCATATCATTTTTTTTAGACAAATACTTGTAGCCTTTTAATATATGAATTGCACTTTCATGGAGAAGTGGAAAAGAATTCTTCCTCCGTAAGCTGTGCGTCATAAGTGGCAACTAAAACACCAGGAGCAAGGGGCTAGTAACCCCTTCACCTGTATAAATTATTAAATTTACAAAAAGAAAACAGTTTTGTTTTTCTGTCACCTGCCTTGGTGGGATATGGCCAGTTTGTCGAAAAAAAGCTCTAATAATGAGTCCAAGTGTGAAAGTAGAATCAAGGTTTCAAAAGCTATTAATAATCTGCTCACTTGTCTCATTTCTCTTGTACAGAGATCATATAGTGTTGCAGATAGTAAGAGTAAATTCAACATATTAATAGGAAAAATGCCTTAAAAACACTGTTAGTGCATGTCAAAAAACAATTTAAAAAATTTGTGTAATTTATATATTTTTTTTTTTTTTAACAAAATTCAGATAGTATTGAGTTTACTACTGGTGGGGAAAGTAGGAAGATGTGATGAGGGAAAGCCAGAATAAATTTCATCAGACAGAACTACTATATCTGAAGGTTGAATATTTCTTAAAAAATAAAATGTATTCCTTTACTTATTTTGCAAGTTTATAATTTGTTTGCCATTGTTGAACCATACTCACAGGTTTAGGGTTTCTGTTTATGATTCATTGCTGTATGAGAAGGTAAAAGTGCAGAAAAAACTGATGTCGCTGACTTCCCTCCATTCTTTGGTCTGTAAATATAAACTCAAATGATCAAATCTATTTTTCCTGTTTTTATGTGCAGGTTTATAATTAGCATTGCATTTTTGAAGGTGCAGGATTCAAATATAATCCAATACAAAGTGGGAGTTATCATAGTTGCTCTTTGCTGATGATGCAGTTCTGTTGGGAGTTTCTGAAGAGATACTGCAAAGGTTACCTTGGTGGAGGACTTTTGGAGAGTATATGTAAGAAGGAAATTGAATCTAAACATTGGAAAGAGCAACGTGGTGAGAGTAACAAAAAAGTCTAGGCAATGAAAGGTTGTATATCAGGTTGGTGGGAGGAAGTATGAAGGGAATGTATTCAAATGTTTGGGAATGAGCATGTAAGCAAATGTATCTGTGAAAGATGAGGTGAACCTTAGAATGAGGGAAAATGGTAGATGGTGTGTTGAAGCATCTGAGGCAAAAACATCAATGTACCAGCACTTATATGGGTATAAAGCATGGACTTCTAAAATTACAGCAAGGAGGAGGCTAGAGGAAGCAGCAATGTCATGTTTGAGAGCAATATCAGTGTTGGGTGTGAATATAATGCAAGGAATTTGGAGCTCTTGTACAAGATACTTGGAGGGTGTATAAATCTGTAGTGGAAGGAAGGTGGGGTAGGGATTGTCCTAGGAAAGATTGGAGGGAGAGGATAAAGGATGTTTTGTGTGCGAGAGGCTTAGATTTCCAGCAAATGTGCATCAGCATATTAGATAGGAGAAAGTGGAGGCAAATAATTTTTATGACGATGTGCTGTTGGAGTATGAGCAAAATAACATTAATAAAGGGATTCAGTGAAACCAGTTAGCCAGATTTGAGTCCTGGAGATGGGAAGTCTGGTGCCTTTGTTCTGAAGGAGGGGTGGAGATGTGTTGCAGTTTTTGAACTGTAGTATCAGCACTCCTCTGGCAAGACAGTGATGGAGTGATGGTGAAATTGTTTCTTCTTTTTTGGGTCACCCTGCCTTGTTGGGAAACAGCCGATGTGTTAAAAGAAAAATTTAGATCTTAGAAATTAGATGATGCCAAAGGTATAATTCAGAGGCCTGATGAGGATTTGTTGTATTTAGAAAGGATGGAACATGATTGTATGAATCCAGGGAGGAAGGAAGTATAGTTAGGGGTCATCCCACAAAGGGTTGGGAGGAAGGGAATAAAGTTTTTGAATGCTAGGGTCTTTATGGAAGAACGTTAGATTGAAGTAGGAGTCTGTCAAAGTATTGGTGGGTATCACCTAATTTTGTTGGAATCGGTATCGGCCTTAAACTGAGTATATTGGGGGATATAGGGTAATTTTGATGATGGTGTGGTTGGTATCGACTAATATTAATGGTATTAGTATTGACCTATATCTTGAATATTGGTATTGGTAAAATTTTTGGTATCATCCCATCCCTAGACTGGAGTGAGTGAAGACTAATGGATTTATGGCCTGACTTACTGCTGGTGTGAGTAGGGTGAAATATAGGAAGGGATTCAGGGGAGCCTGGTTTGCTGGACTTGGCCCTGGAGGTGGGAAGTAGTATCTGGTAAGACAGCTGTTACATGATTAATGTTGAATGTGCTTCCTTTTTTTAAGTCACCTTACCTCGATAGGAGACAGCTGTTGTGTTAAAAAATTAATTATTCTCCAGCTCTCAGAAACATTATTTTATTCAAGCCTGGTTGGTACAAGGTTACTTCTCTTTCTTTCATGATTTATTCATTAGTAAAAATATTATTAGCCTTCATATTTCCTGTCTAGTGGTTTGGTAAAAGCTATATAATCTACTATTATATTTTATGCATCTGTTTTGGAATGTGTAATAATGGGCACTTTTTACCCTTTAATTTTTGTATTATAAAATTGTGGCTTCTTATTGGATTCTGCAAATATAAACAAAATTATGTTCTTTATTGCTTCTTTCAGGTGGAAATTGGAGGTCCCGAACTTACTAGCATCACCGATGAACACCAGAGAACTCTGAAACTAGCACTTCCTAAGACTGCAACATACCCATATGGCCTTAGCTTTACATCCTCAGACTATGGCATGAGTGGGACTCCACCTCATGATCCCGAGTACCCTCAGTTCAAGAATGAGTATCCCAGTAATGTCAAGTAAGTAAGAGGAGGCACTTATTACACAACCTAAGTGGAATGCTTTGCAAGTTTAAAATATTAATGTCTCAATCACATAAAACTGTTTATTTTTTAAAACCTATGATTTCTGCATATAGATATAAATACAGATTTCCCTCTCTTCATGTGGATTCACTTTATTCATATTTGCTATTGTGATATCCCATTTCTAATTATATTTATGCAGTTTAAATTTGATATACTATATACAGTTGGTTCACTCAACTTTTTATGAGACAAGCACACAAACACACTGGAGGGATTTGGTATGCTCCTAGTGGGTTATAGACTAGCCCATTTTAAAACTTTTTTTACTCTTGTGAATTTTGCTGTATCTATCATATTTTCTTTTTATTAATTCTTGAATGAGAGTCCAAACAGTCATTATTCCAATTTACAAGCTATTGGGAACCACCCACTCCCAAATGCGAAAGTACACAGTTACAGATCTCGCTTCCCCCTTTGAAGGAGTTAGGGCTCTCTGATTGGTTACTTGAGGATGACATTGACTTCCTCTATTGATTAGGGGCAGTTGCAACAATTTCATGGGTCTGGTTTGGGCTTTGGAATCCTTCCAGACAAGGGCCCATAAATGGTCCTTTACTCAATAAAGGGTATTAAGAGAGGTTCCTTGATGTCAGTAAAGGGGCTCTTGATTCAAGGAATTGGACCTGCTCTTCCCTTTCTTGGGTTGAATCTGAATGCCTCCCTTTCCCCTTGGTACTGTATGACTATAGTTTAGTGCTCCTTCTTGAATATAATAATAATAATGCAGTGAAACCTCTCATTAATGGATTTCAGCAGTTTTGGATGAAATATTAGCTGGACAGACACTAACGATCAGACAATATTGACAAAAGTCCATATTTCTTCATTTTGTCTGTAGTGATACTGTCTGGTTGTTTTCTGATGTATAGGGCCAAGTCTGCTAACTCCAACATTTGTCCAGTATGGGCCAATGCAGCCACATCCAAGACCTGTCTGTTTTCAGTGTCCCCTGAGTCATAGGCCATCTGCACCAGTTTTTGGTGTGTACTCACTTGCACATACTTTACACGCATCATTCAGTCTCTAATTTACCCTGGATTTAGAGCATTGTGTGTGACTGTTAACACGCTAAGTGTTCTGCAGTTAACAACGGCTTCTGAAGCAAGTGGTGGTGTCCAGAGAAAATGTGGTTCTTAGCCATCTACATCTTTTCAGCCATTTGCATTTTAGCCATCTACATCTCAGCCATCTACAGCTCAGTCATTTACATCATCTCAACCATCTACATCATCTCAGCCTCCTACATCTTCTCAGCCCTCTCTACATTATTTTTACTAGCAGAGCTTTACACCTTCTCTGACTCAGAATAAAGGTTATTCTACATTACCACTAGAGTTCACAGCAGTTTACACCTTGTCTCTCCACCACAAAAGGGTAAGTAAAATTACTGTAAATTAAATAGAGTACTGTACAATTAATCTACAGTACTGTATGTAGTACTACAGGCTACAATACCTGTATTCTTAGTCTTCTGCATCAGATGACCAAGTTCACTACTACAGAAGACAACCAGAGGATCATGAAATATTAATTTAATAATTCAGGAGTTGCAGGCAGTTGGCAACCTCCCCCCCCCCATCTCCATCCCCATTCCTTCAGTCCTTTAATGAAAGATTTTACTGTATATGCAGTTGGGTAGGTTCACATAATGTACTGAAGACTGTTATGTGGAATTCAGTGTTCATGGCTTAATTGAGTTGAGTTCAGCTGCCATGGGCCTGGAATTTATCTACTGTATAAAGCAACAAACTGGCCATATCCCACCAAAGCAAAGGCAAGGGATACCTGCATCATATACTTATTCAACTCTTGAGTTATTTTAACACACTGCCCATTTCTCACAGAAGCAGCACAACACAAAGCAGGAAACAGATTCACCATACTCATTCTATACTTGTCTTCCAGAAGTGTATAGGCAACACAGTTTAAATTGCCATCTGAACTGTACTATTCTCACCCATCCTGTGTAGGGTGGGGTAGCCCTATGCCTCTACATATCTAGCTATCATCTCATATACCTTCCACTGTTGTAACTCTTAAAAAATATCTGTAGCTATATTATTTTCTTTAGTAGTCATGTTATTTATTTGTTTTTATTATTAATATAAGTAAACCTTGTTTGCTAGTGTTTATATACATTGATGAGAAAGGTACAAAAAGTGAGAAGTTTGTGAAACATATTACAGTACACTGCAATACTGTGGTGTAAGTGCTCTCTTGGACTTTAGCTGACTGCAGGATACATTTGTCACTTAAACAGTTACTCAGTTATCCATTTTATTGTTAAACTAGTAATTGAACAGGTAAACATGACAAATATATATTATTCAGGACTTGGAAATTTTCTGAAATCTAAACAAGCTTGGGTTTACCCATTACATGTGTGAATGTCAAAGTGGAGAAGTGTAGAAAGCTACACAGTTTGCCCTCCACTCAAAAGTTAGGTCATGGTAAGCTGTTGGTTTTAATTTGAATTCATTGTGTGGTTTATATTCATGCTCTCCCACTTCTGTTACATGACATTTATCCTCTTTAAATTCTATCACTTCATTTGTATGTTGTTCTGAGCCTTATTACCGAGATTCATTGTGGATAAGTGTAAGGTACTAGTCCTTGGTAATGAAAATAACCCTTGAAGCTATAAACTAGGTGAAGTAGAGCTTGATCATACAGAATATGAAAAAGACTTGGGAGTCATGGTAAGCAGAAATCTAAAGCCAAGACAGCAGTGCCTAAGTGTGCGCAACAAGGCTAACAGATTACTTGGATTTGTCTCAAGAAGTATTAGTAACAGAAGTCCAAAAGTTATTTTACAGCTCTATACCTCGCTAGTGAGGCCTCATTTGGATTATGCCACTCAGTTTTGGTCTCCTTACTACAGGATGGATATAGATTCATTGGAAAACATACAGAGAAGGATGACTAAAATGATTAACTGTGTAAGGAATCTCCCGTATGAAGATAGACTTAAACCCTTAAATCTCCACTCTCTGGAGAGACTTAGAATGAGGGGAGATATCATTGAAGTGTATAAGTGGATGACGGGCATAAACAAAGGAGATATTAATAAAGTACTGAGGGTGTCGAACCAGGTAAGAACCAGAAATAATGGATTTAAGTTGGATAAATTTAGATTTAGAAAGGACATGGGTAAGTACTGGTTCTCTAACAGTTGTGGATGCGTGGAACAATCTTCCCAGTAGGGTGATAGAGGCTAGGACCTTGGGTAGCTTTAAAAAGAGATTGGACAAATATAAGAGTGGGAGGGGCTGGGTTTGACTGGTGTCATTGGGTATGGGAGTTAATTCTTGGGTAACTTTGGGTAGAGGTCATTTTGATGAGGACCTGCCTTGCATAGGCCAGTAGGCCTTCTGCAGTGTTCCTCCATTCTTATGTTCTTATACACAATTATTATTTCTAGTCTTGCATATGATAGTATCTTTGCATCATCAGCAAACACTTTTTTTTATACACATCAATCTCCCACCAATTTAAGGTGGTCCATGAAAGGATAACAGTCTCTTATCATTCATTCAATAGCTCTCTTGCCAGAATTGTGTAGACATAATTCAAATGACTCTCCAAACTACACCATATTTTCCTCTCCCTCAGAGAGCAGGCACCACTGTACTTCCCACCTCTAAGACTCAAGTTCACCTAACCTGTTTTCTTAAATACCTTAATGAATATTACCTTGCTCACACTCCAATAGGAGTGTGAGCAAGGTAATATTATAATTTTTATTCCTTCTGAGAAGTCATGTGTGTGATTGACAGTTATTGTTGATGTGTCTAGGGGTGAATGTGTATTTGCCATGCTTGCTTTGACCTTTAGGCCATCAGGTGGTCAATAGACCTTCAGGGTAGGCTCATGTTGTCAGAGTAATGGATGTTGTTATTAAAAGACAGGTTGCCTAAGTCAGAGTTAATACGTAGTCTAGGTCTGAACCTCTCAGTATACAGTCTTCCACCAATATGTGAATTGTGACACAGTAGTGCTATTTACAGTATATGCATTTTTTGTGATGGTACTAATACATGTGTATTTGTCTCACAGTGACTCAATTTTTTTTCAGGACTGAGTATGATTGGTCAGATAGTCCTGGAATAACTCCCTACAAGTTAGTAGATCCAAGTGGAGTGCGGATGAAATTTGGACGCACAGGCAGCACTGACTCTGACATCTCCATTACACCAGCATCTACGCACACAGTCAGAGTTAAAATCGAGTTCGTAACAGTTAGTTTGTAGTTTTTTAATCTTAGCAATTAAAAACTGTATTGCTTGTTTCTGTCTAGCCAATTTCTTTACCTACCTTAAAGAAGGTACCATATTATGTTTGTTTTGACTCCAGAATTCCTCATTAAAATGGGAATAATGATGATATGCTTGCATCATCTTTTATTCTATAGCTACTGCTGTAAGTGCTGCTGTTCTTCCTGTACTTATTTCTGCTCCAGCTATGGAATTTGTTCAAGCTGTTGCTTCAGTTGCATAAGGCTATAACCACTGCTGTGTTCCTACTCTTGTTCCAGCATCTGCTTCTGTTGCTTCATATCTGATATAACTTCTGTTATTCCTGCTCTGTACCTGTTTGCTCTAGCATCTTTTCTAGCTTCTACTTCCATTATATAATAGCTGCTGTTACTGGTACATCTGCTTCTGTTCCAGCTTTTCTACTGTTTCAGCTTCTGCTATTGTTGCAAAATAGCTGATGTAATTGCTACTATTTCTGCCCCCCCCCTCCCTTTTTTTGATTTGGCACCTGTTCCAGATTTTACTTACGTTTCTACTCCAATTGTTATTCCATAATTTTACAGTAATTCATTATCTTGATAATTTTAATTATCTTTTGCCCTTTGTTTTTATCATTTTTCTTTCTCTTCTGCCTTCTTTCATTCCTTTTTTCCACTGCCTTGTCTTTTCTTCTATCTCCTTCATCTTATTTTTCTCATTGATTCTCCTGTTGACACTGATAATGGAGAGTTACACATTATAAGTCACTCCTACTCTGCTTGATTTGACTAACAGTTGAGTCTTCCTCTTGGTAAAGAATAAAAAGGCTCAGTGCCACAACTGAGACAGTACACAAATAACCTGCACGCTGAAAGAAACTTCTGATGACATTTTAGTTTGAAATGTCGTCATAAGTTTCTTTTTCCTATGTGCAGGTTATTTGAGTATTCCTGTTGGTGTCTGACATTTGTACAACCCATTCTCCACGTCCTCTCTTGCCTGGAAACATGAGAATTCATCATCTTACACTCAGGGTATGTCACATCACACACTTATCTGTGGGAAATGTTCTGAATTCACTGTACTGCAACTTATGTTATGGCTATATATGTAGGGCCCAATGACATGGAGAGTGAAGTAATGTGTTCTTGCGCTGTACTACACTGCTAGCATGTATTGGAGTTCTTCCACTTTTGGAGTGATTTGGTGATGCCTCAACTGAAATTTATATAGATTAGTGCACTGTAAGATTAAATATGTAGATAACAGGTTAGTTTGGATATTGCAGTTGGAGGGTTCTACACTGTCCGTATCTGGTGCCTCTGCAAACATGTGATTATGATGTGTGAGTGAAGGGTTGAATGCATGAAGTATTTTCTTTTGGGAGATTTTTTCTTTTGAGTCACCCACCCGTGGGAACGGCCAAGTGTTGGAAAAAAAAGTGGACGTGTCTATACTGGAAATTTTCAGTTTTAGTCTTATTTTCCTATATATTGTTCTCCTTTGGTGTACAATATCACAGTTGATTTCTAAGCTAAATTCTGTAAAATGCATTATTTTTATCTGCATTGCAGTCAAAAGCCTAATGGATGTAGATATTATGATTTTACTCCAGAAGAATTTTATACTGTGTATGGAATATTGTTTAATGGCTTACTTATGTGATATATGTGTAGTTCTTTTAGCAGGGTTAGATAATGTACAAAAGCATCTCTTGTACACATGTCTCAGCAATATTACAAATGTCATGTGGCAGTCGTGTGTGTGCGTGTTGGTAAAATTTTGTCAGGATTTGGGGAGATTTTTTTGAAGAAAAGTTAAAAAGTTGCCAAAGTGGAATACACTATATTTGTGGATTGGCATTCATAAGAAATTTATGGTTTGTAAGTACAGATCATATTAACTTTCATTTATGAGATATGGTATAATCATCTGGGCCAATAAAATTAAAAAAATTTTGATAAAAAAAACCTGTTTAAAGGCTATTCTGGGTGTATATAGTCCTTGAATACTCTTTACAAGTTTTTTGACCCCAAGACTGCAAAATTTTTTGCCTCGGGTTACTACATATGAAACTAGTTGTTGCCAATTAGAGTTTTATAGTTACATAGTGAATACCATCACCTGGTGCCAGCTGCCATACTTGTTACTGCTACTACTACTTGCTCCTAACCACATTTCCATCACATTCTCCCACAAGCCATGACATGCAGCATGCTGATTTATATATGGTGAGTTAAGTCATGGAGAGAAATGCTACACAATGCTGACACAATGGAAAAAAAGACACACAAGAACCTTTATTGATGATGATTCTCCCACACAGCGGGCTTGATAAAGTCAAAAAAAAGTGTTTGTGACTTGATAAAGGTGACTATGTGGGGAAAACATTGTCAATAAAGACTATTATTATACTGCATTTGTTTCTCTTTTTCCAAAGTATCAAGTCACTTTTGTACTAATTTGTAAGGTAATTTTGATGCAGATATTTTCTTTCCACAGCATTTCTTCATTTTTTTTCCTTAAGGTTTGATATATTTGTGTGATCATCGCTCCATCAATACTCT